AAAAAGAGGGGCACCTGGGTGGCTCAGTTGGTTAAGCATTCTACTTCAGCTCAGGTCATGATCTCGCAGTTTGCAAGTTTGAGCCCCACGTCGGGCTCTCTGATGTCAGCATGGAGCCTGCTTTAGATACTCTGTCTTCCTCTCCCTCTGCATCTCCTCTGCTTATGTGCGCACTCTCTCTCTCAAAAATAAATTAAAAAAAAAAAAGGTTTTGTTATATTTGTCCAGTGGTGGGACAAACTAAAGAGCTAATACAGCAGTTCCTTGCAGTCTGGAATATGGTACAGGCTACTGGCTAACAGACCTACGTTTTTCTCTGGTGATTAGCAAAAGACGTGTTCTGAGAAGCTGTTGTTTTCTAAGTCCTCAAAGTTCAGTTCCTTTAACTACATACAAATGCTTGGAGATGTGCTAAGCCCTCAGGCTACAAGGGTAAAATTGTATATATATATGGAGAGCCTTGTCAGCAGATTCTTAGGTACTATGGGGAACTCTGGGAAGAACAGAAAGACACAAAGTAACTTTGACATGATGTATACAGTGTATTTTCAAGATAGTGGAGGAGGAGAGAAACCTTTCCAATTTGAATCACAGGGTCAGTTAAAGTGTTCCTTGCCTAATTTTCATTTTCAAAGACAGCAGAATACAATAAGGGAGGTGGGTGTAAATGTAGGAGAGATATGACCCATTCCAGCAAGTGTCTTTTGCATCTCATTCACCTTCCTATAGCTGCACTATTTTGGAGGATTCCTATTCCTGAATTAACTCTTCTGTCAGGTCAGGTGACCCATTAAGTCATCAAAAATAGCTGAAAAATTGGAAATTTAGGAATTAGTTTTTATGATTCTCCCTTTTACTTGTTATGTAATGTCAGTGGATCTTTAAAAGGGAGGGAAAAGAAAGAGGGTAGCTGATCAGCCCAGGTGAATGTACTTGCCTTAGAGAAGGAAACCTGTGGAGCTATCCATATGTAGCCTAGAGACAATGTAGTCTGATGATTAGGAGGAGTAATTTCTGTACTTTATCTTCCTTTACTGTGACTTGCTAAAGCCCTTCTGGAAGCATCAATTTCCTTTGGAGAATTGTTCTGGATTTAATGATAATCAGGCCTGGAGTTGCCATCATGGTTTTGTCATCTAGATCATGGTAACTTTGTAGGTCAGTGGCCAGTTGATGCCCCCAACTATGGCCTTTGAGTATCCCGGTCCTAGCCTTAACTCCAGGCCTTAACCTGGCCTAACTTAACTTAGGCTTTGGGAAAACAGGCCAGGGTTACTGGGCAAATGCATGGCCTGCATTGTGAAATGGAAAGGGTTCAGTCACCAGGCCTTTGGCATTTGAGGACTTATCCCAGATCCAGAGTGAGCTCATGTAGCTTCCAAGGAAGGAACTCCCTCTGTGCTTAGCCCAGCTCAGATAGCCTGTTGGAGTGACCCTTGGTAACAAAGTGTGTGGCACTGGTTTCCTTGATGCTGCATGCAGGCCACTTTGGAAAGGGAAGAAAGGTGATTGAAATCCCCAGGCAGGCTTTGTCCTTTAGTTTGAGTTGCCAAACCAGGAATGGTCTAAACTAAAAGGAGGGGCCAGTCAATAGGGGAGGTAAGGATTCTGGGAGTTAGGCTCTGTGAACTAACCAGTTGTTCAGAGGATCTCTTCCTTTCCTCCATGTCCCTTAAGGTTTAGCTGGCATTTTCTTTGGGTTCCGTGCTATGGGACTGAATCTACTAACCTTTCTGCCCTTTTTTCCCTGCTTTCTCTCTCCTTGCAGAAGGAAAGCGAGGAGCCATTCAGGTTGTGCCTCTGGCCCTTTGGGTCCTTTGTGTTGTCTATCTTCTACCCTTCTCTCCTGAGCACAGTGTGTGTGTGTGTGCGCGTGTGCGTGTGGACGAACACATGCACGCACACACACACATGATCTGTGCCTCTGAGCTTTGGCTCATGTAGATAGTCTGTTTTTCCTTAAAAGCAGTTTGTGGGCATGCTCCATTTTTGTGTATGCTCCTGCAGACGTCCCTGGAGCACAGTGTGAGAATGTGTGTGCCAGCATGGTGCACATTCAATGTAGCATGTGTGTGCTTATACTTGTACTCAGTTTGACTCCCCCAAACACTGATTGCCCTTCTCTTCTATTTTGCACAGTGTTTGTCCATTTTTTGCTTGTTGCTGCAGGTTGGCATATGCTGTAAACCCTTGCTGAGCCCAGCATGCATACACTTTGTATTTGAGAGCAGGAATTGCTGTAGGCATTTTGTGCCTCTTGCCTGGGGCCCTAAGTGTGAATGTGCTTTGTGCTTGTGAGCAGGTTTCTTGGTCTCTCTGTGAACACAAGCTTCTGTAGACCTGTGATGTGGTTCCCCCATGCCATGTGAATGCATTGTATAAATCATGCTGTGCACTGGTTCTTGAAGACTGTGAGGGTTTGCTTTTGCCTGTGATTCAGGCCCGGATGAACACTGAATATCCTTTTTCGAATGGGTGTGCGCACATATTTTATCGCCCTGTGTGCAGGATCCATGATCACCTTGTGTTTCTCTCAGGCGTAAGTTGTGTCTATGAATGTACCCGCTGTAGGTACTTTATCTAGACCACCTCTCATTCTCACAACCCTCCTTCAGTACCTGTGTGTGCATGCTCTATGCTTTTGTCTGCAGGCTTCTGCAGACCCACTGTCCCCTCTAAGCACAGGAAATGTGTATGATCTGAGTTTGTTGAACCCTGATTCCCAGAGACTTTTTGTGACTTTGTTTCTTTAAGGTCAGTGGTTTTTGGCAAACATCTAATTTTAGGTAGGAAATAAAAATCTGCTCAGTACAGTGACTGTTTCCAAAGGGAAGGTAAGTTCTGTGTGGTAGGATCTGGAGATTTAGGGATAGGCTACCCCTCAAAAGCAACTTTAGGGGACTTGCATTATCCACTTCTGGTTTCTTTTGGGGCCTGGCTGTCCTTTTGCCAGTATCATCTCACCCACAGAATCAGGGCAAGAGCCAGATAAGGTGAAATGGGTTCGTGAAGGGCTGTAGTCAATAGGCAGATAAGCTTACTTAGAGTCCAGACAACCTGAGAACGGTCTGAGAAGGGTCTTACATCCAAAGTTCATCTTGACCCTTCCTGCTGACCCAGGGTAATTCTTACCCACTTTTACATTACCCAACACCATGCCTGTCCTACCTCTCCCTTTTCTACTCTGTTTTACCTAATTTTATCCATAACTTCTCCCAGCCAGGGCCCTCCCAAAACTTTACCCCCTGTACAAGTTAAATACCTTACTTTTGTCTCCCTTGTCCTGGAGCACATTTGGTCCAGGATAGTTAACTGGACCCCAGGTTTTAGGAGGCAGGAAAGTTTTGGGGAGTTTAGGGGACAAGAAGGGGGCACAAAGCCCCAGACCTGCTAGCACTAGCTCTGTTTGAGCCTAAACAGCATTTACCATTGGTTCTCTAGAAAGCCCTAGAAGCTTTGGAACTTTCTGTCTACACTGCTTTTTTTTCTGTGTGTGTTTTTTTAATGTTTGTTTTTGAGTTTTTTGTTTGTTTTGGTTTTGGCTTTTTGCTTGTTTGTGGAGAAACGTTTAAAAACTGTTTTCAGGCAGTTTCTTCTTTGAATTATTTGGTACCTCAGTTTTCAACTTCTCATTATAGAGCTCATAAACAGCACCAGAATGATAATCTAAGTATCCAACCTGCCCTGGGTTTTCTTGTTATATATAGAGAGACCTTATCAAATGTAGAATGTCTGTGAGTTAGGGCTTCAAGGAACCTGAACAAAGTCAAATCACAAGATGAGATGGGAGTCCAGAAGGACCAAGTCACCACTCTGTGATAGCTAAGGGAATTTAGGAATATAACTAGAAGAAGGCCAGACTCTGTATGAAGTGGTCCTTTTGCTTAAGCGAGGCCTGGAAGCCTAACTGGATCTTTTTTTTTTTTATTTTTTTTTTTTTTTTTTGTGGCCTTGGCTTACTGTTATATATACCAGTGAATTGTGTGAGGGGGATAGAAGTTCTGATAGTTCTCACACTCCCAGTGGACCTTAGCCTTAGAGCTTGACCTTATATCCTTCCTATTCACTGGGGAGAAGGGAGACAAAGTAGCACTCATTTTGGCAACCTGCTTGTTGCTCTGGCTCATCAGGGCATTTGCTTAGACATCAGTCTGGCTGTGTCACCACATTGTGTATGTGACCTACTCTTCTCTGAGATTCCTACTTTACTGTTTACTGCCTGACCAAAGAAATATGGCTGTCTCCCATCTTTTCTAGGATTTAACTTTTTTTCTATCTCTTTTTAAAGATTCCAGATGATGGTAACCCCTCTCTGCCCCAGTGGCTCCCAGGAGGGTAAGTGATTCCCTACAAGGTTTCTGTGGATTTTACAGTCTCTCGTGCTGCTTCTAGCTTCCCCCTGAGAAACAGTAGAAAACACTCCATAAGTTGGATCCTGGGAAAGAAGAGTCTCTGCTATAGGGATTGGTTGGTTCTCTGAGGAGAGGGGAGAACTTTGCAGATTGACTCCTCAAAGACAGAAGACAGAGCTTTATAGCATGGTTCCCCTGAAGCAGGGGAGGGAGCTTTGGGGCTTCCCTATCTTTGCCTCTAGAATTTGATTCAATGCATCATAGTTAGTGATAACCCTTTTAGGTATAAAAGAGGAAACTAGAAAAATATCTGCATTTGACACAGTTCTCTTTTATTCCATTGTTGATAGTGTAGCTGATTACTCTCTGGGCTCTGTCCTGCTTCAGCTGTTGTGAGTCACCTACTTACTCCATTCTACTCTTGTCAAGACATAAGTAGCATCCCTTAGGAGCTCTGTGTGTTCTGTCTGTGCTTCTTGTTTGGGAGTTTCACACCCATGTGACTGCAGCAAAGAGTCATTTTCAGCTGCTCAACTGCTGTCTATAACTGACTATTCCCAAGAGAGAAAAGAGTTTAAGTGCCCTCCCCCACCTCTCCCTGGCACATACACTGTCCATTATTTCTCAGGATCTTCCTTTTCTCCTTGTCCCATAAAGGAGACATAAGACGTATGTTCTTCTGACATAAGAATTTCCAGTGGCTGCCTTCTCTCCCTCATGATCAGGGAAGAAATAAGAACAGATCATAAAGTTACCTACTACATTTTTACATACTCCTTTTCCTTGTGATTTTTTTTTTTTAATAGGTCATGGGAATAAGCTATCCTTCTCTTGTCTAAAGCTCATTTATGTTGCAAGAACCTTGAGTGGTGCATACTATAGTTTTTAGAATTAGCCACAAACTTGGTACTTCAACAGCCCTTCCTCAGGACTTTAGCTTTTTTTTCTAATGATTATAAAATACATACATGATAATGGAACATATCTAAGCTATTTTTAAATGGGGCCATGCACTGATTTTCTAAACGCCTTCCTGTCATCTTTCCTTCAGCTTAGTCCTTAGAAGTTGTCACAAGTTGAGAACTTCCCTAGCTCTGGTAGTCTCATTGAAAGCAAAGTTCATTTCCTGTGCTCAGGAAGCTAGTTTATTAGAAATCAACATAGCAGCTTGTCTGTTCCAACTCTTGGCCTTGATCTAATTTATGGCTCCATTCTTTACCTATATAGCTTGCTGGCAGTACTTACTTATTTTTCTGAAGCATGTCTCTTTTCAGATCAGTTATGGTATACCATGTAACTACCTTACCACCTTCCCCATCTCCTTCTTTTCATTAAAGCCAAGTATATGAGTTCTTTTCTTTGAGGTTCGGAATGACAACTCCTAAAAGGTTGGAAAAATTTTGTAGTTCATTCCCCTTGTTTTATGGAATTGGCGTCAAGACCCAAAGAAAGGAAGGAATTTTGGCAAAGGACATAGATTGAGTTAGTAGAAAAGTTGGGTCTAAAACCCGGGTTATCTCATTGTGAGAATGGTGTTCCAGGATGTTCTCTGTAATTTTATTCATATAATTATGGAAGAAATGGCAAAGAACAACAGAATGCATAGAAATGGTATAAAAGTTTTAGAAATCTCCAGTTGCTCCAACTGTAATCTTTTTTTCCTGGTCCCTGCTGATGTATCCACAGGGCTAGGCTAGACTTTCAGAGTCCTTTTGTTTCCTTCCTAAATTTTGTTTCTTTCCCCCTCTAAATGGTTATTTGGAAGTCTCCTATCCCACTTATCCTCCCTCCACTTGGTTATGCAAGCTCCTCTCCATGGAGACCTTTTTCTTCAGGATGCTTGAATGGACAGAAGTGGTGACTCTTTTACTCAGGATAGAGAAAGTCTCCTTCTACATATCATTAGCAGTCTTTCTCACGTAGGCAGCAGCTGTTCTGTAGAGCCATTCCTGTGGGCTCTGTTCTAGCACAGGCCAGGAAACACTTACCTTTGGGGAGCAGAGTCTGTGGCCTGAATCTAGGGAGGGGCCCTCGTAACTACCAATTCCCTCCTTGCATTATGCAGCACAAGGGCCTTCAAGTAAACAGAGGTGCCTTGAAGTGTCCTTGTGGGATAAAATATCTCTGTTTTTGGCTGAAATTACAGAAGGAAACATGGAGGGGCACCCCGAGAGCAGATTCCATTGCTCATCATTCCATGGTGTTATTTCTCTCACTTTGTGTCTTCCTTACCCCTCTCAAAGGCACATGGTGGAAATCAGTTCATCTTCCTCTGGGGAGAGGGTGAGCAAGGAGAATAGAACACTGAACCTGCCATAACAAGTCTTGACATATTTTCTTCTCCCCTTAGGCCAGCTGGAGGGCTCTATGGCATTGACAGCATGCCAGATCTACGTAGAAAGAAGCCACTGCCACTTGTCAGTGATCTGGTGAGTGACTCTTTGAAGACTTAGGCTATAGGGTTGGGGTATCTCCCATTAGGCCATAGCATATTATCAGGACTGGTAGTGGTCCATTTAGTGACAAATATTGGTCTGAAGATCAATCATTTAAAGCTTTACTGAGACTTAGTGATGAGACCTTAGTTGGACCTTATTTCCTTATTAGAGCCCCAGGTTCTTCATTAGCTAAAGCTCCTACCTGGAACTATAGCTTGGGCCCTCAAACCTGGGTTATCTCAAACCAGAGTTGTCTTCTAGGTATCTTATTCCTCTGGGTTTCTCTGTAGCCTCTTTTGATGACCTGGAATGGAAATTGCCTCTAGCCCTGACCTAGATCATTGAGTTTAGCAATGAGCACCACTGATGCTACTCCTTACAGATAAAGTGATGGTCTCCTCCCAAGACATAGACTTGCTGGAATATTTTTGTGTCCCTAGTATTTAACTCAGAGTTTGGCACTGAGAGGTAATGATAAAAAATTGTAGAATTGAATTGAAACAGGCTTAAGAGTTAAAGCTGATCTCAGGACCTCCAGGATGACTGGAAGCTCCCATCTTGGATTATACCTCCTGTGGCAGGATCAACTCAAGGAATTTTGCATAGCCTAGTGGGTAGTGAGGGGTGAAGTGGGGGCCAGGGTCCCCCACAATCCTAGAGCTCAAAAGCTAGAAGTTTAGTAAGACTTGAACCCCTTTTCTTAGTACCATTTTCTGCTCCTGTTTTCTGTCCCCACCCCCCATTCAGTCTATTTTGCTTTTTCTATGCACTCCTTTTCCCATTTCTCCTTCATTTCCTGCTTTTTTCCCCTCTACCAGTGTCTCTCTCCTTAGTTGGCTGAATGGAATTATCCTCTGCCATTTTCTCTTGTTGTTTTTTTTTTCTTTCCTTCCTTTCTTTCCTACTGCTTGTGTATCTTTTCCTTTCTCTTTTTCCTCCTTTCTAATATACCTCTCTTTTTACCATCAAGCTGGTTGGATGAAGATGAGTTTTGATGTCATCTCTTCTTTATTACTTTATTTCATTATCTTGCATCTCTTTTTTCTTTTCATACTTTTTCTCTGCTTCTACCCCACCCCACCTTTTTGTACACCAGCTCTTCTTTGCTTAACTAGTTGGATAGCAGTATCTTAGTCATGTCCTACTTTCATCCTCCATATTTTAACCTTGCCTATATTTCATTTTCTGGCATAACTCTCCTTAGAGTAGAAGCTCTAGGCACTGGATAGCTGGCTGGATTGAAGATAATTTTTAGTGGATAGAGGCAGAGGGGGTTGGGATGTTGTACCCTACATGGATCAGACTACTGGGAAGACTACCTCCCAGTTGCCTCTGCAAGTTTTTTCATGCTTTTGGGGGTGGCTTTAACATCCTGTTGTTCCTTTCTCTGCTCTCCTCTGCACAGGCTATGGTGAGTGTTTCCAGAGCCCCTTTCCATCCTCTTTAAGAATCTCAAACCACCTGGGCCCTTCCCAACTGTTTTTCCTGTTTAGGCTGATACACTTCCTGTCTACCCAGTGTCCCCTCCGGGGGCTGTTCTTAAAGCTTGGGTTTGGCAGATAACATGAGGTCCCTCTACACAAGGGCTTAGCTAGCAGAGCAGTCCCAGCTCTCAGACTTAACCCTCTGCCCTGGTTGATTTGACTGTGGTTATGTTGCCCCTTTAGCTGAGTATCTTGCTCATTTGGGCTGCTGGCTTCTATAGCCACCTGGGATTGTGTGGGCATGGGGTGGTACCCAGGGATAAAGGATAGCATGAAATTGTTCTCAGTGATGGTTCTGGTTTTTTTTGGGTTTTTTTTAGTGTTTATTTTTTGAGACAGAGAGAGAGCATGAATGGGGGAGGGTCAGAGAGAGAGGGCGACACAGAATCTGAAGCAGGCTCCAGACTCTGAGCTGTCAGCACAGAGCCTGACGCGGGGCTCAAACTCACGGACCGTGAGATCATGACCTGAGCCGAAGTCGGACGCTTAACCAACTGAGCCACCCAGGCGCCCCTCAGTGATGGTTCTTAAATGTGGCTATGACATAGTTTATTCTATTCTTTTTTTTTTTTTTTTTTAATTTTTTTCAAACTTTTTTAATTTTTTTTGGGACAGAGAGAGACAGAGCATGAACGGGGGAGGGGCAGAGAGAGAGGGAGACACAGAATCGGAAACAGGCTCCAGGCTCCGAGCCATCAGCCCAGAGCCTGATGCGGGGCTCGAACCCACGGACCGCGAGATCGTGACCTGGCTGAAGTCGGACGCTTAACCGACTGCGCCACCCAGGCGCCCCTAGTTTATTCTCTTCTTAATGATGTATTTCCTACTATAATTCTAAATTTGTCATTTTCCTTTGTCTTCCTATAAACAAGGGGTGGGAAACCTAAAAAGAGTGAAGGAAAGAGAGAGTCTTTGGATGATAGGTACCCTAAGAGAAGTGTCATTCTGACGTTGTTAGAATAGTCTCCTAAGGGCTTTGTGTTTTGGATCTTTTTTTTTTTTTTAATATAATTTATTGTCAAATTGGCTTCCATACAACATCGAGTGCTCATCCCAACAAGTGCCCTCCTCAATGCCTATCACCCACTTCCCCCTCTCCCCCATCGTCTGTCAACCCTCAGTTTGTTTGGTACTCTTATCATCTGTTACCCATGGGTGGTTCCCGTGAATGACAGTAAAATTAGAAGGTAGTAAGTCAAACAGTCAAATCACTTTGGTCACTGAAACTCCTTTGCCAGGAATTTGCCAGCCCTTGGCAGTAGCCAGGGCTGACAGCCGGTCTTCTCTCATAGTCATTGGTCCAGTCCCGGAAGGCAGGGATTACTTCTGCAATGGCTACACGCACATCTCTCAAAGATGAAGAGCTGGTAAGTGACCCACGGGCTGTCATGAGTTCACTGGCCTGAAGACTGGTAGCCACTCTGAGAATTCATGAGTGTTAGGCACACATTGTTAATGAAACAGATAAATAGCTTTGTGTCTGAGTTTTCCATACTAAAAGAGGCAAGGGGTCAGAACAGAGGTAAGCCCAAGTCTTACATTGGAGTATGTGACCACTGAACTCAGGGTTTTATGGTGGGCCTAGTACCCTCTGTTTTCTTAGAAAGCTTGAATGCTGGGAAAAGGTTCAGATGTAGCATTTGGGTCAGATCTCTCTTGGATGACCAGGAGCACATGACATTGAGGAGCTTCTTTCTTCCAGGGGCTTCTTGGCTGTGGGCTGGGCCAGACTAGAGTATTTCCTTTATTGCCAGAGGAGAAACCAGGGTCTTGATTACCCTGCAGGGATCTCAGTTCTGGTATCTCTTAGAGACCTAAAGTTGCTGGCGGGTGATGGGGTATGTGTCTTTCAGAAATCCCACGTGTATAAGAAAACCCTGCAGGCCTTAATCTACCCCATCTCGTGTACCACACCCCACAACTTTGAGGTCTGGACGGCCACTACCCCTACCTACTGCTATGAGTGTGAAGGTCTGCTCTGGGGCATTGCCCGGCAGGGCATGCGCTGCAGTGAGTGTGGAGTCAAGTGCCATGAGAAGTGCCAGGATCTGCTCAACGCCGACTGCCTGCAACGTGAGTGTCCCTGTGGGATGAGGGGTATAGAGCAGAGGCAGCAGGCCCTCTCCCAAATAGTCTTGCAACAAAGAGCTAGGATGGCTCAACTATCATTCCTCTAGTCTACCTGATTATGAAGTTCTTTCTTTTTCAAAGAAACTAGGGTCCTGAGTCAAGGGGCATTGCCTTTCCAAATAACAGGTCTTACAACACACTGTCTTAAGCACCTTTTGGAAAACAAATTCTAGCTTTCTGTGGCCCTCTGGCAGAACTAGAATCTCTTCCAGGATTCAGGTGATCCCAGAAGCTGTGCTTGAGTAGTGTACACACTGCAGTGGCCATATCGCCCAAATGACTAGAGCATGATTAATTGGGGACCAAAACTAATGGGAAGAGAGAGTTCTGTGAGGTTCCAGGCTTCGCAGAAGAACCTCTTGAGGTATAGACTCTAGGACCCAGGGAAGGCAGCATTTATTCCTTGCCTATAGATGCAGGTTTTAGACAACAGTGCTGGGAACAGAAGTGACAAATGGATCAGGCAGAGGTCCCAGAGGAGAATGTGCCAGACTCCCAGGCCCTGACTAAATAGGTGATTTGTGCTACCATCATGGAGTGGGGAGAATAGGAGCAGGAAAAGGAACAAGTTTCTGCCGAAGGTGTTAGTAGCCCTCCAAGTTCTTGTCTCCTTGCTTTGTTCCTGCAGGACTTGTAACCACTGTGCCTGGACCTCTGGGGGAACAGGGTTTAGGGATGTGGGAATGTATTTTCTTGCCCCTCAGGTCTTCCACATTTTACTCAGAGCCAAGTCATAGCAATGAAAACTTCAAGGATTATGGGGAGAAAGAAGGGACACCTTTAGACTCAGAAGCACTTCATTATCCCCAAGAAAGATATGTGACATAAATGGGGCCCAGGGAGAGGCCTCAACTAATTGTTCACTTAAAATGTCTTCGTTTGGAGGGCCCTAGATTGGTGCCAGTGGCATAGCTATAGCAGACATGAAGAAACAGGTAGAACAAGTCAGTGGAAGAGATGGGGCTCTGAAAAGATTGAAGATGAATGCTGGTGATGATTGCCCAAATCCATCATAAGGGGTTTCAAGCACAGGTGCCAGCAGACTCTTGCTTTAATTACTAAGAACTAGAAGCCAGGCAGGCTGCATAGGCTGCTTGCTGGAAACTTTCTGAAATGCTGCTCCATAGCAAGTGTGTCAATCCTTTCCTCAAGGGCCTTCCAGAGGTCCCAGTCCAAGAAAGTAGCAGTGTATGGGATATGCTAAATGGCAAGACTAGGATGCAACCCAGGTCATTTTCATTTATCAGAAAGTATCTTTTGCCTAAGGCTTCTGTGAAGTGAGGAGTGGAATGAAATGCCCTTCTATGGCCTTCCCTGGACAGATCTGCTTGCCATCTTTTCAGGGTTAGGATTCAGATGTTGGCCTTAATTTTTGCTCCAGGTCTTGTAGAAAAGACCTACGTCTTTGGAGAATAGAGATAAAAACCAATCTGCAGAGCCAGTAAAGGAAGGATTGGCCCCTTTCTGACAAGCCCATATGATGAAATACATCAGACGAGTCTGCTCTGTTTTTTTTACCATACTACATATTTTCTGAGACTAAAGGCATTAGAGCCCTGAGGCAGAATCCAGTGTGTGCCATGATGAATTCTGGGATCTCTGTCATGGTTTGGAAGTCGGATGAGATTGGTGGAGTTGTCATGCCCATCCACCAACCCTCCCTGATAACTGCAATACCCATTGGGGATATTTTTGCCTTAAACTTGAAGGGTAACTCTCAACCACCACCTAGGGTAGAAGAAAGACAAGGTCAACTGCAGGCTGAGCTAAACTTTTTTGTTTGTTTCTTTTTTTTATGAAAAATTCAGGAAATAGTATAATAAACTCCCATAATAATTACCAAGATTGTGCTGCCCTTTGAGTTGCATTTTAAATTCCACTGGCCAAGCGTTAAACTTCAGCAGGTCCCCTATTGGTGAACTCTTCGGAGAGCTATCCCAGTCTTAAGCTTCTTCCACTTCTTAGTGACCTCTGTTAAGCTGCATTCTTCAGCCTGACCCTTTGTCTGGTGGGTTGCCTATTGGTTATCTTTCTATTTCTGACGATCCTTCAGGGGCTGCAGAAAAGAGTTCTAAACATGGAGCTGAGGACCGGACCCAGAACATAATCATGGCCATGAAGGACCGCATGAAGATCCGAGAGCGGAATAAGCCAGAGATCTTTGAAGTTATCCGGGATGTCTTTACTGTGAGCAAAGTTGCCCATGTGCAACAGATGAAAACAGTGAAGCAGAGTGTACTGGATGGCACCTCCAAATGGTCGGCCAAGATTACCATCACTGGTGAGTAGGCCAAGGTTTGAGGGGACAGGAAGGCCTAGACTATGGGGAGGAACCTGGGGAAGAAGCATTCTGAGTTTGAGGGAGCAGGGGGCTGGAGAGAAAGAAGGTAGAATTGAGGGAAGGAGGGCCTTACTGTTCATCACTCCTCCTCTCCTAGAGCCTGGTGCCATTGGGTGTTGGGAGAGCAAGACCAGCACCTACGAATGATATGAATGATAATGAAGGATTTGGTAACAATCTGATGTTATAGACTTGGTTAATAGTTTGATATTATAAGAGCTGGGGGGGGTGGGCAATGGTATAGTAGGAGATCAGGAAATAAGCTAGTGCTTTACTAGCTGAGTGGGTGTGGCTGAAGCACGTATATATCAATGTAGGGGAAGGTGGTCAGTTAAGGCACTGGTGAGGAGGTGGGATTCTTGGGCCAGCCTTTCAGAGAAAGACTGGCAGCCCAGGGCTAAGCATAGATATGGAAGAGTGAGAAGATTCGTGTTCCTGTTCAAGGAGCAGATGGAGGCTGCTCTAAGATGGAGAGCATATGAGTAGTACTATGGAAGACTTGTGACTTCTAGAGCACACTCTGAAGCCTCCTCCTTTATATTTGGGTTGCAGTGGTGTGTGCCCAGGGCCTACAAGCCAAGGACAAGACAGGATCCAGTGACCCTTACGTGACTGTGCAAGTGGGCAAAACCAAGAAACGTACCAAGACTATTTTTGGGAATCTGAACCCTGTTTGGGAAGAGAAGTTCCATTTGTAAGTAACAGAGGGTTTTGTCTTACCTGGGACTATGTGTATTTTAGAAGCAGCATTAAGTCCTATTATCCTTGGCTTGGACCCTAAGAGGGATGAGGCAGGGCACCTGGTTGGCTCTGTTAGTGGAGCATGCAACTTTTGATCTTGGGGTCATAATTTTGAGCTCCACATTGGGTGTAGAGATTACTTTAAATAAATAAAAATTCTTTCAACAAAGAGGGATGGGCCAGAGGTACTGGAGAAGCCTATTTCTCATAGGATTCAATTGGGCAGCAGTCATTTATTTTCTGGGTTCCTTCTCATGGGCTATTGTAGGGGCTCCTGGGCACTCCATACTGCTTTTTCTAGCGTTAGAAAGATTTTACTACTGCTCAGTGACAGCCAGGAACTGGCCACCCTGTTGTGTACCTTTCAGCCTTTCTATCCTGCCTAGGAAGGATTAGACTCTTCTGGAGAGTTGGGAAGCAATGTCCGTGTCCTCCAACTGGGTAATTCTGGCTTGAAGATAGAAATCTGGGATCTGGAAAAGTTTCTGTTTCCCTTAAAAAGCTCTGCTTTTTTTTTCTTTCTCAGCTTCCACCCCCACTCCTTTTTCCATTGTCTTACTTTCTTACAGACTATTTCATAAGACAGTACAAGATGGTTGTTGAAAAAATGTCAAGCTCTAGTCTAGGACACAGACTAATGTGTGGAGAATCCAGGTGCTTTGTCACACACCTTATACCAGGACTTAGAATCTGAATTACCTAATGAACAGGCTGGTTATATAGAGATCTTCTTCTGTTGGCTCCTTGGAGAACTCAACGTGGAAAGGGATTGAGGCCTAGTAAAATTGGCCTCGACTCCAGAGGCAATAGTTACTGGGGGAAGCACCTATTCCTTTGAGAATCTGAGAGGTTCCTGCTTGAATTCTTCTTATGATGAATTTTATTTTATTTTTTTTTAATTTTTTTTTCAACTTTTTTTAAATTTATTTTTGGGACAGAAAGAGACAGAGCATGAACGGGGGAGGGGCAGAGAGAGAGGGAGACACAGAATCGGAAACAGGCTTCAGGCTCCGAGCCATCAGCCCAGAGCCTGACGCGGGGCTCGAACTCACGGACTGCGAGATCGTGACCTAGCTGAAGTCGGATGCTTAACCGACTGCGCCACCCAGGCGCCCCCTGATGAATTTTAAATGAATTGACTCTGTAGTCAATTTTGCCTGCTCTCATCCATTTAGTAAATGATTTATTAAGCCCCTATTCTATACAAGACACTGTAGATGATATTGTGTATCTAAAATGTGTAAGACAGTCTCTGCCTTCAAGAAGCTCCTTGTTGATTTGGCTGTTTTTCAGTAGACCAACAGTTATACTATAATATTTTAATGGAGTGTGCAAAAATAGTATGAGAACACAGAGAAAGAAGTAGCAAATTCAGTCAAGTACAACTCCTATATGAGGCAATAGGACCCACTAAGCAACTGTGAGGGAAGGAGAGTGTGAGGGGGGATCTGACCAAACTCCCTTTTCCAAAGCAAACCTCATAGAGCAAAATGATAGTTCACCTGGGTTTTAAAGAATGATTGAAGTTCACCAAGCACATACCTAGATGGATGGGGGGAGCTAGATGGAAAGCTAAGCAGATATGACCAGATTGACATACCATGAACATTGACACCTTTACTGACTCTGGGAAGGGAACTAGCAGTCCTTTCCTGTGGCTCTGTAGCATTTGTCCAGGTGTTTTCCTGTTAGTGTTGTTGATACATCTAGCTGCACAGGAAATCAGAATGGTCTCTAATTACTCTTCTGTCTCCCCACTTTTTGTGTCAAGGCAATAAAGAATGGTATGATAATGGTATGTAGAGCCACCTAGGCTGACACCCACTGTTCCCTGACTCCTTCATTTCCTCTACAAGGCTTCAAGTATAGTTGATGGAGCTTTGGGAGGGAATTGGAAGTAATAATAAGAATGAGTGCTGCTTGGTTGGTACCTAACAGAGCCTGCCTATTTCTCTCACAGTGAGTGCCACAACTCTTCTGACCGCATCAAGGTACGTGTATGGGATGAAGATGATGACATCAAGTCAAGAGTAAAACAGCGGCTTAAACGAGAGTCTGATGATTTCCTTGGTCAAACCATTATTGAGGTCCGGACACTGAGTGGCGAGATGGACGTCTGGTACAACTTGGGTGAGGAAACAGGACCAGAGAAATTTTCTGGGAAGGGAGAGCATGAATGGGAAATCTGGGGGAAAATCCTGCCTACCAAAACCATCACTCAATCCCTAAAGCATACAGAGCCTGTCTTATCTGCAGAGAACTGACGATGAGTAGAGATGGGGGACAGAGGAGTGGAAGTGGCTGGAACTCAGTCTGGCTGTTCAGCCATTCTTCAGATTTCAGGAGGCCCTTTAATCTTCATGCTCATCTCTAATGGTTTTAGCTCCCTATTCTCTTAATGAAATTAATATTGGGAAAAAAAAAACAAAAAATAAAAATAAATAAATAAAAAGAAATTAATATTGGGAATATTTGGGGGTATTTGTAGACTATGTGGTCGCTGGAGTGAGTTCACTCTGTTATGTGAACTTTGGATTAGTGCCTCTTTTTCCTTGGATTAAGCCAGGATGGGGGCTGTCTGCGCTATCTGTAGTTGCATTGGCGTCAATCTCTGGTCTTCTTTTCTTCCTAGAGAAGAGGACAGATAAATCAGCTGTCTCAGGGGCTATTCGACTACAAATCAGTGTGGAGATCAAGGGGGAGGAGAAGGTAGCACCGTATCATGTGCAATATACGTGTCTCCATGAGGTGAGCCACCCTTTGGTAGATGGGGTGTCAGAAAGCAGTGCTGGGAAGGCCTTTGACAATAAATGGGATTGCGGGATGGTTGAAGATTTGCGGCCTGGTTTTTATTCACCATGCTACCCTGGACAGCCCAAGTAATAGTCCCAGCCTTTGTTCTCTTTCACTCATGTGAAGGCCTATTGGGCCACACAAGGAACTAGCGATGATTTGACAGAATTTCTTTGGAACCCTATTCATATTCTCCTGGACTTTACCACCAGATTTTAGTTTTATTTTTAATATGTATTTAACTATTTCCTTTGCTCTGTCTCCTGCAGAACCTTTTCCATTACCTCACAGACATTCAGGGTAGTGGAGGAGTCCTGATTCCTGAGGCTCGAGGAGATGATGCATGGAAGGTGTACTTTGATGAGACTGCCCAAGAAATTGTGGATGAATTTGCCATGCGCTATGGCATCGAGTCCATATATCAGGCCATGACGTGAGGCTCCCCTGGGGCTTTGGGAAGTGGCTTTTAATTCTTGGGGAGGCTAATGAAGGCACACTGACAGGGTAAATAGGTCCTTAAGTGGGGTAGTATACAGTGATTTGTTGCTTTCCTCTCTGAGCTGAGGTGAGGTGGGTCTATGCCCCAAGGCAAAGAAAATATATGTATAAAGGGAGTATATTTATCAGTAATTCAGGGAGATGATACTTACCTGTCTCCCCCAGAGTGCAGAGATAAGAAGGGCAAAAGGCATGAGAGGGTATACCAGGACAAACTTGGCCAAACATCACAGGCCTGAGGAGATGCAGCATGTGTGCTTATGTATATGTGTTTGATAGACAAGCTTTCATAGATTGGCCTGGATGTTGAAGAAGGCACTAAACTGTAGAAAAAGCAGCTGTGTCTGGAGTTGAGCAAGACTCCTATGCCAGAAAATTTTGCCTACTATGAAGAGTTTGTATATACTAGTATGTAAGAGTTTGTTGTTTGTATGTTGGTGAGGCTGCCACTAGAGCTGTAAGCAGAAGGTGACTATTACCCTGGACACGCTTCATTTATTCTACAAATTTTTATTGAGTTTCTTCTATGGGTCATATATTGTGTTAGGTGCTGAGAACACAAAGATGGAGTAAGATGAGGCCTCTGTGCTTGGGGAATGCAGTCCAGTAGGAAGGAGAGACCAGTAAACAAACAATTACAATATAATATGATAAGTGCTATGGTAGAAGTAATAACAGGGAATTATGAAACCATCTACCTTTTAGGGGAGGCATGTGAGGGAAGCCATTGAAGAGTTGACACTTGAACTGAGTCTTGAAATACAGGAAAGGTGGAAGAACATTTCTGGTAGGGCATGTGCTATGGCGCTGAGATGCAGCAGACAATAGAACATTCAAGGAATTACAAGAAGTTCATTATAGGTGGAGAGAAGAAATACAGTGAGGAATGAGGTTTGAGAATGGCCTCCTTACCGTTCCTACTCTGTTCATTCTCCCTAGATGATCTCATCCAAACCTGTGACCTTAACCAGTTCTTCTGGGTTGAGGACTCCATTTCTTTTTCCAGATCATACCTTTTCCTGAATTTCAGATCCATTTTCAGCTGCTTTCCTTCTTCCAAATCAACAACATCTCCACCAAATATGTCTATCTTCCTATATTCCTTATTTTAGTAAATGGAACAATTTTAAATGCAGTTGTCCACACAAATTTAGGAATCAGCTTAAACTTTTCTTTCTTAATTACTACTGCCCTTTGACTTCCAACATCAAAATTCTAAAACCTCTGGATTCTATCTCCTAAAATTGTTTTTAATCTATCACTATTGCTATAGTGCAATAGTAACAATAACGATAATGATAATAACAACTCCCTCATACATTTCTTTATGTTCCAGGCATTGTTCTAAGCATTTTATGAATTTTAACTCATTTATGAGGGGATACCATTATTTTTCCCATTTTACAGATAAGAAAACTGAGGCATAGAGAAGTTTTTAAGTAATTTATCCAAAGTCACTGAGTAAATAGTGGAGCTGAGATTCAAACCCACTCTTGATCTAGAGTCTGTACTCTTAACCATTTCTCTGTTCCATTTAGTGCTTTCATTGCTTCTTTTCTGAATGATTATAGTAACTCTTCAACTGCTCTTTCCATCCTAGTCTTATCTGAGTCGCCCTCCAATTTATCATCAAAGGGGCCTTTCTGAAAGACTAATCTGATCATACTGTGCCTTCATTTTAAAATATACTATAGTATTGAGGGTAAACTGTTCTGTTAACTATTTATGCTTCTTTTATTTCTTGGTATTCCTATATCATATACCTGAACAGTCATAACTGAGGTTTTCCCAAATGAATCAATCTGCCATGAATATATTTGTCTTTGCAATGGAATTTCCCTTTGCCTGAACACTTCTCCATTTGATTACTTCCTACTAATCCTTTAAGATTTGGTTCAACCATCTCTTCTTTGAGAAGGCTTATTCTAATCCCTTCCAGCCCTCAACCATTCTGATTTAAGTGATCTTGTATGTTTCTACAGTAGTTTTGCAGAGCATGCCTTGGCTTATTGACTTTCTTACTCTTGCTTTCTCTGCCAGGCTATCACATCTTTGGATTCTAGCACCTAGCACAGGGCCTGGCACATGGTAGGCATTCACTGAATGTATATTTGAATGAATAAATTACAAAGATTCTTGCATGCCAAAATGATTGGAAGCTTCATACACACCAGTAAGCTCTTCTGATTATTTGTTTTTTGCTGCAATCCTTGAAGAGTCTTTGAGGCCAAGAATACTGTTTTTCAGGCACTTTGCATGTTTGTCATCCAAGTACATGTGTCCTGGTGTGCCAGCAGTGATGAGCACCTTACTGGCCAACATCAATGCCTACTATGCCCACACAACCGCCTCCACCAATGTCTCTGCATCTGATCGCTTTGCAGCTTCCAACTTTGGGGTGAGTGTGATATAAAAACATACCTACTCATTTGTTATTAATAAAGTTTGATTTTTCACAGTAGGTACCAGAGCTGCCACTTAGATAGATGAATTTATTTCCTTATGGGTATGTCGACTATGCTAATGGACTGTCCTTATTTCATTATGGATAGGCACACTTACTAATGAACTCTCCTCAGACATGAATGAGAGAACGTGGAATATTACCACTATGGGGGGCGGGCGGGGGGCTGCCACACAGAATCTCTCTAGGCCAAGAACTTGGTTGAGTCACTGTGTTCCTTAGTCCTGCAAGACCACAAATGGACCTTTCTTAACATTATTCAGTTTCTCTCTGACTCCTCCCACTCAAGTTCATATGAGACTGATGTCTAAGCGATGATACCAGTATATTCCTTGAGCCTATCCCTTTTCTAGTGTTGGACTGTTTACCCTATCCAGGATGTGACCTTTCCTGGTTTTAAGATACTTGAGAAGTTGAATCTTTATTCAGAATATCACCTGACATAAGTTCAATATAAACTGAAGTCTCTTTGACCCACCACAAAGATTGCCTCTTTAGGAATAACATTACTGATACTCCCAAATCTACTGGTTCTCTGAGCCCTGTTTTTTGATAGTAACTACCTTTTTTTATTTTAATAGAGTCTTTCTATAGATGAATTAACAGCATTGATTAAACCACTCAAATATGTGTTCCATTATCTCATCCCATTATATATTGAACTTAAGACCTAACGATGTATAATATAACCAATATATGAATTCTAGGAGTGCTATACCAAGTCTATAGGCATGTGATTCCACATTTAATTATATCTTTTCTATAAAAATCAACTATTAAAATGGTGTATGTTATTTATTTTAACATTTTAAAAAGTATAAACTAAGAAAAACAATATGGAATGTGGTGTAAAGAGAAGCCCTCTCAGGTCTGCTTGATCACCTTCCAAATGAATGAGTATTCCTCCCTCTTATCATTACTGCTAGACTCTGGCTACTTAACTGTTTTTGAACTGCCCCAAGGTAAGTTAGGAGACCATAGACTCAGGAACAAATAAGAGAATTGTTTCAAGTTTCCTTTTATTTGAATAAGAAGAGTTAGAGTCCCAAAGGAATGGAGAAGCATGGATCATCTCCTTTTGACTCTTACATAGAAAGAGCTGTTTCCTCTCCCAGGGGCTTCCTGTCCCCTTGCCAGTGTGAGAAGATCTCATTTGAGATAGAGTTGCTAAGAGATGGAACACGAGCCACCCATCCCACTTTTCCCTTATATTGGTTGTTCTTCTGCTGGGCAGGGATGAGATAGGATGTGTCCCCAAACCAACGTCTCCTCCTCAGCCAGAGATGGTTCTGTTTCTGCTACAGTCTAAGGAACTCAGATTATTTCTCTCTTCCCTGTTATTTGTATCCTACCCTTAGAAAGAGAGATTTGTAAAACTACTGGACCAGCTGCACAACTCACTGAGAATTGACCTCTCTACCTACAGGGTGAGTGAAGACATGACTGTGAGGTGGGATAACAGATAATACTAAGCTCTTTCTAGAGAGACTATAGTCCAATCTTGGCTATAAAGATTGAAGGCAAGGAAAATTGGTCCATGTCATCACATGTACGTACATGGCCAATGCCACTGACATGTGTGGTTCTTCAAACTCCAAGGAGCATACAGTGTGTAAATAGCAGCAGGTGTGGCTAATTTTGTACAGATAGTTGGCTTTCCAACCCCACTGATGTCACTCCATTCAACTACTGATGACATTCTCATTAGGGAGTCTCCTGAGGATAATCTCTTCCAGAAATGCCCCTTTAAGAATTAGATACTTAACGTTTCTTTTTTGTATTTTTCCATACTCTCCTTCTTTTTCAAGGGAGGTAATGAGTAGCTTGGCTTGGGCAAGTAATTTGTAGCAGGGGTCATATCCATTCCTAGGATGGAGGGAGGAAATAGATGTACTAGGAGGGTGAGTACCTGGGACAGGACAGGACAGGAAAATGGGCAGTTTCCCAATTCTTCCTAAGTTAGATCTTCTTAGAATGGCTTCCTTACTTGCTTTAAAGTGTCATAAATTTCCAGAACAGGCAATATACCCACGTTAAAAAGTAAGTATAAAAATAACCTCAAAGTCAAAAAGAAGTGGAGTTTTAATTATCTTGCAATTTCAGTGTCCTCCATTTGCATGAATAATGGAAAGTTGACTGTATATCTTATATTTGGCATATAAGTAGCCATTTGGAGTTTAAAAAAGCAATCCTTAAAATGGAGAGTGGCTCAACATCTCCCTTCAGCTCTTCTTGGCAGCTTCCTCCTAAAACTCATGCCAAGGGGAATGAAGTGAGGCATGGTGGGAAGGTCCTAAGGAACTCAGTCCAAAAGCAGTTCTGCTCAGAACTCTGCCATCTTCTGGCTCTGGAATGTGGACTAGCTGGGGTCCCTTGCACAGAAGATACACATCCTTGATCTCAGTCTGGTCTGTAGTGTGGCTCCACTTATATTGCAGAATATACAGTTAGATTATAACTTTTGAAGAACTCACTGTTTGGGTGTAAGAATCTTCACCCAAGAAAAATGTGTGTATATAAATTGTGTGTGTGTGTGTGTGTGTGTGTGTGTGTGTGTGTGTGTGTGTCTGTGTCTGTGTGTTCACTTGTGCAAATGCTCACACATTGCATGGGAAGTAGGGTTGGTGTAGGAAGTGCTGCTTTCTGGGGTGGGGATTATTAACCCCTGCTTTTGGCAAGGGCCTGTCTGTCAGTAGAAAAGAGAGGGAAACGTGTAGTTTTATAGCTTTTTTGTTCAGCTCAACTGGGGAAAATCCCAGTGGGTAGCAGATAAGGAAGCTTTTGATTTCATTGCTTTTGGCAGGGAAGGCTTTCGTATTTCTCTGTTCCTTTCTTAAATTTGCTTGATTTGCAACAGAATAATTTCCCTGCTGGAAGCCCTGAGCGGCTTCAGGACTTGAAGTCAACAGTGGATTTGCTGACCAGCATTACTTTCTTCAGAATGAAGGTAAAAGATGAACTGGGTGGGATGGTGATGGGCTGGGGATCTGGCCACAGGAACATGGAGAATAAGAATCACTGGGTATAATCTGAAGCTATAGTATTTGTCACCTCTAAGCCCACATTTCCATACACCTTTCCCTGAGTTACATCTGAGAAGACCATGGATCAACAGAGATGGGATGGGCAGTTCTCCCAATCAGCTGTCCTAGCAATTTCATCCCATGGGCAAGGTCCAGGGACTCTTTGAGGGATGATGGGAACCTGAATAATTTGAGGGGAGTTCTAGGAGGAGATCCTGCACAGGTGAGCAGGACCATGGACCCATATTTCTTTTATTAATTGGCAGGTGCAAGAACTGCAGAGTCCTCCAAGAGCCAGCCAGGTGGTAAAAGATTGTGTGAAGGCCTGTTTGAACTCCACCTATGAGTATATCTTCAACAACTGCCATGACTTGTACAGTCACCAGTACCAGCTGGTAAGAGGTTCAGGATCAGGTGGGACCAGTTGGCAGTGGCTCTTAGATCCTTGCTTTTCCTATACCATGGTTATGATGGAAAGTTGGTCAGGACAAAGTCCTTGATGTTCTTGAGGTTGAATAAAGTGTAGAGTAAGGGCCTTCTAGACCATATGAGACATTTGTGGATTGATAGGGACCATTGGACAAGATGTGACATAACTGAGTTGAACAGAAGTGGCAACGGTTAAGTTTTAGTTAGGTACTAAAGTAAGTGACCAAAATTTGAGCAATTTTAGGGGGTGAGTCGGTGAATTCTCAGTCCATCTCAGAATCTTTTTTGCTCCTCCAAGCTTAATTTGTTCGAGACTGACTTCTTCTGAGATCCATAACTATCTCTCTGAATTACAGGCTGATGGAAGTTTTTTACCTCTGACCACTTCTCCCTGCACTGCATGGTCTTCTGAGATATATTCATCAGCTGACTGTCAAATGCCAACTCTATCCTTCTGTGAGGCTGAGCTGTTTCACCTGTTTTATACTGACATCCTAACCTAGTACCTGGTGACTGCGTACATTTTTCTAGATCCTTTCAATAGTATCTTTTTTTCCTCATTTCACAGCCAGGGCTTCTTTTTGGGTCTAGTTACTCAATTACAGCTTCTGTCTTTAATAACTCTGCAGACCACACATTTGCAAAACAGATTCCCTTTAGTCCAACAAGTATGTATTGAATAAGCCAGGTCTGAGGAAAGCATAGTGCTCCTTCAATTAGTTCTTTATTCATAAGCATATATATAATTCTAATCAAAGAAGTCTGTTAGAAGTGCCTTGAAAAAGGAATGAAATTGCAGGATTCGAAGAAGGAAGAATTCACTCTTGATCAGGTACTGGGTACTACATAGAATAAGGGCATTTGACATAGACCTTAAGAGGCAGTAGGATTTGGACAACAAATGATGGGAGGACAGCCTAAATCTCTTGGATGTTTACCCATTGGTGAATACATCCAATTTGTAATTTTCCTAGGAGCACCTCAGTCAAGACTAAAATCTTGTTCACACTGCCTCCTCCCATTCCTAAGGGTACTTTTTGTGCCAACTCTATCTTTAAGGCTTCCTTCTTTTAAGGTTTGTAAAACCTCATTGGTTCTGAAGTTCATGGGAGGTTTTCCTGGGGCCGTTGTTCAACTTGCCACACTCTGTCATCCATCTATGGGTTCACCTTGGTTGGGGAAGACACTGTTCTCAGCTTTGATTTTTCAACTATGCAGGGGTCTATCTGAATATTTAGTCCCTATTCCCTAACATGAGATGTACATGGACTTTGAAAGAGAGCGAGGTGCCTGAGTGGCTCAGTCAGTTGGGCATCAGACTTCGGCTCAGGTCATGATCTCATGGTTTGTGAGTTCGAGCCCCACATCGGGCTCTGTGCTGACAGCTCAGAGCCTGGAGCCTGCTTCGAATTCTGTGTCTCCTTCTCTCTCTGCTCCTCCCCTGCTCATGCTCTCTCTCCCTCTCAAAAATAAAGGCTAAAATAAATAAATAAATACTTTTTTTTTTTTTTTTTTAAAGAGAGCTTATAAACCATTCAGGCACTTTATTTAGCCTTTGAGTTTTGCTGGTTTTTTTACTTTTTTTCATTATCATTTTCTCATTATTCATTATTTACACTGAAGTAAACCATTGATATCTTTTTTTATTTCCTTCTATTCACCTTCAGTCATTGGTTCATTCATCCATCTATTCCACATCTCTGTTTTTGGCAAGCTCATTGTTTGGTGAAGGTGGGGGAGGGTGCAAATTACTGGATATATTGGGTTTTTAAAATTTATTATTACTGCATTTCATTGTAGTTGTAGTTGCCTATTACATCTATACCAAAGTTCATAGAGGGTGTTCTGGGAATCCAGAAGAGAGGCATCTAATCAGACCAGGGGTATCAAGGAAAACCTTTCAGAAAAGGTAAAGCTCAACCTGAATTTTGAGGGATGAGTAGGAGTTGGCTAATGAAAGGGGTTGGGGAAGAGAAGGATACCATATAGAGGTAATAGAATGTTTAGAGACACAGAATTGTGAATGAGTGTGTTAATTTGAAGAAATATAAGCAATTTAATTAGGGTAGTTACAGTGTCAGGCTTTGGAGTTCAACTCTCTGGGATCAGATCTTGGTTCTACTGTTTATAGCCACATGACCTTGGGCAAGTCATATAACGTCACTGCTTTCAGTCTCCTCCTCTGTAAAATGAAGGTGATAATTTCTACCCAGTGGAGTTGTTATGAGGATTAAATGAGACAATGTGTGTAGAGTTCTTAGCAGGGTGTCTTGCACCTAATAACCACTAAATAAGTGGTGGTAGTGGGGTGGTGATGGCTGCAAGGGATTGGTGAGGTGTGGGGTTGAGAGAGAGGTCATATTCTGAAGGCCTTTTGTGTCAAACTGTGGAATTGAAATTTATTGAAGGCCTTGACTGAAGGTCATTGAAGGGCAGAGGAGTCACACAAAGAGATTCTCCTTGCAGAAAGATCACTAACAGCTGCATGGAAGAAGGACTAGTTAGGAGATGTTTGAATGATACCGATAGGGTAGTGGCAGAAAGAGTTCAAGGAAGAGATATATTTAAGTGATATTAAGCAGGCAGAATCCACATATTCTGTGAGTTCTGTCCTGGTTTCTATTAACTTCCTGATAATGCACCCTTATTAAGGATTGTGGAGACTGTGATGACATATGGCATCCCACGTAAAAGTCCTATCCCTGTTCTTTTGGGTGGTTTCAACTTTGCTTTTGTCCCAGTGGAAGATAAATGTCCATTCCAGCCTTTGTGTGGTGACCCCTACTTGTCCTGTCTGTGGTCTGAATGTAGAGTTGCTTCTCCTTTCCTGAAATTCACCATTGTATTTCTTTACTTCTTCCCAATCCAGTCCTTTTTTGTCCCCCAGCTTTACTGGGATATAATTGACGTATAACATTGTGTAGGTTAAGATGTGCAATGTGATGATTTGATACAAGTGTATATCATGAAATGTTTAACTCAGGCCTTTACCTCACATAATTGTCATTTTTTTTGTTGTGGTTATGGTAAGAACATTAAAGCTCTACTCTTCATAGCATCTTTCCATGTAGTACAGTATTGTTAGCTGTAGTCAACCGTGCTGTATGTACCTTAGATCGCCAGAACTTACTCATCTTAACTAAAAGTTTGTGTCCATTGACCACCATCTCCCCATTTCCGCTACCCCTCATCTCCTGCCAAACACTATTCTAACTCTGTTTCTATGGGTTGGATGTTTTTAGATTTTACATATAAGTGAGGTTATATAGTATTTGTCTTTCTCTGTCTGACTTATTTAGCATAATGTCCTCAAGATCCATCATGTTGTTGCAAATGACAGGATTTACTTTTTTTCTAAATTTTTTAAATGTTTATTTCTGAGAGAGATCGTGCAAGCAGGGGAAGGGTAGAGAAAGAAGGGGACAGAGGATCCGAAGTGGGCTCCGCGCTGACAGCAGAAAGGCCACTGTGGGGTTTGAACTCATGAGCTGTGAGATCATGACCTGAGCTGAAGTCAGATGCTCAACTGACTGAGCCACCCAGGTGCTCCTGGGATTTCCTTTTTTATGGCAGAGTAATAATCCATTATAGTTACATACCACATTTTTTTAACTTTTAAAAAAATTTATTTATTTTGAGAGAGAGAGACAGCCCGAGGATGGAAGGGGCAGAGAGAGAGGGAGACAGAAATCCCAAGCAGAGACTCAATGTGGGGCTCAAATTCACAAAACTGTGGGAAAATGACAGCCAAAACCAAGAGTTGGGCACTTAACTGACTGAGCCACCCAGGCACCCCGCACATTTTCTTTATTCATCCGCTGATGGACACTTAGTTTGTTTCCATGTCTTGGCTATTGTGAATGATGCTACAATAAACATGGAGGTACAGATATCTGAGATAGTCATTTCATTTCCTTTGAATATATACATAGAAGTGGGATTGCTGGATCATAGAGTAGTTTTCTTTTTTCTTTTTTGAGGAACCTCCAAACGGTTTTCCATAGTGCCTATACCAGTTTACATTCCTGCCAACAGTACACCAGGATTCCCTTTTCTCCATATCTTGGCCAGCATTTGTTATCTCTTTTTGGTGATATTCATTGTAACAGGTATGAGGTGACATCTCTTTGTAGTTCTTATTTGCATTTCCAAGGTGTTTAGTGATATTGAATACTTCTTCTACTTGCTGGGCATTTGTATGTCTTCTTTGGATAAGTGCCTATTCAAGTCTTCTACCTATTTTTAATCAGATTGCTTTTTTTGCTATTGATGAATTATATGAATTCTTTATATTTTGGGTATTAATTCTATATCAGATATATGGTTTACAAATATTTTCTCTCATTCTATAGGTTGCCGTTGCATTTTGTTTCTTTTGCTCTACAGAACATTTCAGTTTGATGTAGTCCCATTTGTTGATTTTTTAAAAATATATATATTTTATTTATATTTTTTAAAGTTTGCGTATTTTGAGAAAGAGAGCAAGTGGGGGGAGGGGCACAGAGAGAGAGGGGCAGAGAGAATCCCAAGCAGCCTCTGTGCTGGCAGCCAGTCCTTCCACTGGTTCCTGGGTCCCTTTTCTCATGAATCTTGAGATCATGATCTAAGCCAAAATCAAGATCAGATGCTTAACTGACTGAGCCACATAGGCACCCCTCCAGTTGTTGATTTTTGCTTTTGATGTTTGTACTTTTGGTGTCATACCCAAAAATTCATTGCCAAGACCATTGTCAAGGAACTTTTTCCTTATGTTTTTTTCTGGGAGTTTTATGGTTTCAAGTCTTATATTTAAGTCCTTAATCCATTTTGAGTTAACTCTTGTTGAGTGGTAGAAGATAGGGGTCCAGTTTCATTCTTTTGCATGTGAATATCCATTTATCCTAACAGCATTTATTGAAGAGAGTATCTTATCCCCATTGAGTATTCTTGGTTCCCCAAGACCTTTTCTTATACTGCTAGAAGAGCTTCCTAGATACAGTTCTTCCTCCTAATAGCATTCATGAGCTTAAGGGAAGTCCTTAACCCCCTGAAGGTTAGACCCACTTTCATGCTAGGTCTGTTCAGTAGCTCCTGCAGAACTTAAAGGAGCTTCTCAGAGCTTGTAATGTATACGTGCATGTGATGATGTAGGGAAGGTGTCAGAGGAGACTGCCAAAGGGGGTCACGTTGAACTAGACCTACTTAGTAAGGCTGGAGGGGCAACTTACTTTGGCCAAAGAGTCACCATACTCATAGCTACTGAGAGAATGAAGAATGGGGACAGGCATCCTTATGTCCTTTAGACTGACCAAGCTTATCACATCAGTGCCCTGGAGCTGGAGAAGTTCTCTGGGATGGACTCTTTGTGTATAAGGACCTCCCAACAGTCACCCCTCTGACAGAACATGGGCAGTCTTGTGGAAGACAGGCTTAGAAGAGGAAGGGTACCTGATTCTAGAAGAGGGGTGTGGGGAGGGAAGAGAAAGAGGAAGATTGGAGACATTCTGCACATTCTACTCTGATTCTCACCATCTCCCCTGCAACAAGAAACAGGAGCTACCTCCAGAGGAACAAGGACCCAGCATTCGGAACCTGGATTTTTGGCCCAAACTCATCACACTCATTGTGTCAATCATAGAGGAAGATAAGAATTCCTACACACTCATTCTGAACCAGTGCGTATCAACCCACTTGGCCCTGTGTGGTTGGTGGTTGGCTTGTCCATCTGTCTAACAGCCTCTTTCTTTCCTATCTCTGTGTGTTTGCAGTGCCACCTCTTCCTCCTGTACATCCGTCTGTCCCTCTGTCCCTTGTATCTGTCTGAGTAACTGTTTCTGGAGACAGGTGTGGAAACATAATGGGGGGCCCTGCCCAGACTGAGCCAGCCTCCCTGGAGTGAGAGGCCCCTGGGAATGGCTGCCGTAGGAGTCCCAGGGGATCCAGAGACCATGTGTGTATGTGTCTGTCCACTGTGAATAAAGTGGGCTTTCTACGTCCACCCCCTCACACTTTCTCCTCCATCTTCTTTAGCCTGGGCCTGCCTTCTATATTCAACACTTCTCTGGGTCTCAAATCCCTGCCTTCTGGGCATCCTCTCCCCTGGGCCCACCTTGCTTGAGGGAATTCTCTGCCCCCACTTGTCCTTCCACTGGCTCCTGGGTCCCTGTTCTCCAGATTGAACCTAGCCCTGTTTCCTAGGCTTCTCCTGTCTTCAATCTGACCTCCAAGAGATTAGGCATGTCAGCTTTGGAATCAGTCAAATCAAATAGCTCTTGCTTTGTTCTCTGACTGTGGCTTCTTCCATCATCCAGGTTTCCTCAGGAGTTGAATGTGGGAAAAGTCAGCGCAGAAGTGATGTGGCAGCTCTTTGCCCAAGACATGAAATATGCACTGGAGGGTAAGGGTGTGCCCAAAGCAGTGGTCTATAGGCTCCTTGCCCAACCACCTTGTTTACTGTCCCTTTCTTCTCCCAGACAACTATAAGTTCTGGGTGAATGGTACAGAGAAATTACAGGGATTCTAGGCATAGGCCTCAGGAGTCCTTGGGTAGGCAAAGGTTCAGCCAAGGTAATAATGGAAATGGCTGTGTGGATGTGGACTCCCCCTTCCAGCTTTAGAACACGTCCCTGTTTAAGACGTTCTCCAGCCCAGAGAGCATCTCTTCCCATGCTGGATACTCAAGTGGCCCACTCCTTGGGGTATGAATGGTCATATGAAGTTTATCTTTACAGTTTTAAAGAATCACAGAACCTTAACTACACAGATAGGATTATTTTCTCTTACCGGAGGCTGCCTAGCCTGGCTTTCCTTAAAAGCTATTTTGGATTGGCGTGACAGAGCCAAAAAGATGATACTTCCCTCACTTCTCCTATAAAGTAGTGTGATGGACAAATTATTATTGATCTTGTTCATTCAGCTTATTTCTTACTTTGGTCCACAAAGATATCACTGTCTGCTTGTGTCCAGCCTTCCCATTTGTACCCTTCGGTGTTCACTTATTAAGCTGCCTTTCCCATCTGTTTATATATGTTAGTCTGTATCCTCAGTCTGTGTGAATTGACTTAGAAAAAAAGGGGAGCAGCCTGGCGGCAAGGACAAAGCAGAGTCTGGATCTCTTATTCTGGTGGCGTGGCCAGACTGTGGGTAACCCTCAGACTTAAACTTTTGAGGTTTAAAAGCAGTAAGTTTTGAGGTTGAAAGAAACCTTGAAGATCAGTGTTTAAGTTTGAGACAGCCACAGTCTGTACGTGCACATTCTGGAATTCTGCCCCAGAGCAATGGCTGCCTCTTGCCCACATTGGGTCAAGTCTGGGGTGGTAGCCCAGGCCTTAGCCTTTCATGTCAGTGAGGAAGTCACTTGTCCCTCTCCAGGCAGCACTTAGCAAGCCTGATGGGGGTGAGTATAGTCCCAGTTCTTAAAGAATCCAGCTCTGGTGGGTTTTGAGGGGAAAAAAAGAAATACCTATGAAAAGCGAGCCAGGTTCACAAAGATAGTATGAGGTAGGACAGAGGTTTTCAAACAAAGGTATCTTAGGAGCTAAGTGAAAAGGGAAAACTGGGGCAGGGGGAGAAGGGTGCTGGGCTCCAGGTTTTTTACCCGGTGCTAGTTAAGTCAATTCTGCTTTTTATCAATCTTATATGAGATTCTAGGTAAGACTTCTTTTTAAAGGGGAGTTCTGCTAATGTTTGCAACAAACACAAAAGAATTGAAAACTGCTCTAAAAGAAAGAAAGTTGACCTGGTTTCAAATCTCAACTTCACCACCTAATCAGCAGTGTGTTCTTAGACCAGTTTTTATGAGCTCACATTTTCTCATCCATAAAATGGGCGTGATAATAGCATCTATTTCACTGAGCTGATAAAGAAACTGAGATATATTAATATACTTAGCATACTGCATGGCATTTACTCAGCACTGAATAAATCTTGTTAAGGACAGTAAGAAACCATTATAGGCTCATGAGCAGAGATGCAGTGTAAGCAAAGTAGTATTTTTATAAGATTTCACCTTAGTGGAAAATGGGGGCAGGTGGAACAAGGAGAGACGAGAAGCAGGAACTGCAGATAATATTGTAATAATTTAGGGCTGAGGGGATGGGGCTGAGGTTAGAGCAGAGAATTGAAGAGGGAAGAATGCATTTTGATAGCTCCTGGAAGGAGGTTGTAATAGGACTTCATAATTGTCAGAATGTGGAGGGCAAGAGAAGGGTAGGAGTTTGGAGACCTGGATGATAAAAGGATAGTGTTAACTCTGACTGTGAAAATACTACCATTCACCCATTTTTAAAAATTTTATTAGAGAGGGTGCGTGCACACATGCACCTGAGTGGAGGAGGTGCAGAAAGAGCGGGAGAGAGAGAATCTTAAGAGCGAGAATTCCCAACTCAGGGCTTGATTCCACAAACCATGAGATCATGACCTGACCCGAAATTAACAGTCGGATGCTTAACCAACTGAGCCACCCAGGCGCCCTTCCACCCTTATACATTTACATTATACATGCAAATGTATAGTTTACATACATAAAATAAAAAACCCTTTAAGAGCATAATTTGATTAGTTTTGACAAATAAACACACCTGTATAACCACTACCCCAAAATATAGAACAGAAAGTTTCTTCTTGCCCCTTTGCAATAGATCCCCAGCCCGTTAACCAAATACTTGTTGAGTATTTTCTTTGTGCTAGGCACTGTGCTAATTGTTGGAACCCCAAAGAGATGAATGAGGCATAAGCCCAGCCCTTTGAGAAGCTCACATACTATTCTAGATGACAGACATAAAAATTGGCAGTTCTGGTTTAAAGTTCTAAGAGCCATGAAGGGAATAAGCATAGGGTGCTGAGAGGAGAGCAGTGTAATCCACACCCAGGAAGACTTCTAGGAGAACCTGAGAAAAGGATCTAGGAAGGCTTCCTGGAGGAGGTGATATACAAACTGAAACCTGAAGGATGGTAGGACTTAGCCAGTGGGGAGGGGAGGTAGTAGTGATGGGAAAGGGAGACACAGAACATTTTAGGAAGAGGATACAGTATGTTCAGAGATGTGTGGTCTAGAAAGCTGTCATGTTTGGGAAACTGAAAGGAGTAGTTTGGTGTGACTAGCACGTTAGAGTGTAGGGGAAGAGATAAATAGGACATCAAGATAGAAAAGTAGGACAGAGCCAGGTCATAAAGGAGGTGGTAAGCCATGTTTAAGCTTTTGGACTTATCCTAAGGCAGTTTGGAGCCAGTGAATAGCAATCCTTTGTTAAGGGGTTCACATGATCAGGTTTATAAGGTAGAAAGGCCACTCACGCTGGCTGTTGTATGGAAAATGGGTTGGAGGAGGGGCGCCTGGGGGACTTAGTCGGTTGAGGTTGAGTCTCTGACTTGGGCTCAGGTCATGATCTTGCCCTTTGTGGGTTTGAGCCCTGCTTGGGGCTCTGTGCTGACAGCTCAGAGCCTGGAGCCTGTTTTGTATTCTGGGTCTCCTTCTCCTGCTCACATTCCCTCTCTCTCTCAAAAATAAATAAACAACTAAAAAGTTTAAAATTTGTTAAATTTAAATAAACATTAAAAATTTTTTAAAAAGAAAAGAAAGAAATTGTATTGGAGGAGGAAGGACCAAGTTGGAGGCTATTGTAGTAATCCAGGTCAGAAATGGTGGTAACAAGACCTAGCAAGTGACTGTGTAAAAGAAATGGTTAGATTCCAGAGAAATTTTGGAGGTAAAATCAGCAGGGACTGGTGATTTAACTGGATGTGAATCAAGAGGAGGAAGGAAGACTTGAGGATGAAGCTCAGCATTGAACAAGAGGCTATGATTAGTATGTATACTCTGTTAAAGTTCAGCCAGAGATTTTAGATGCTGAAAGATGGGGGCTAGAGTTAAATCCTGGCAAAGTGAGATGTTCCATCAAAGCCTTATGCAGACATTATCAGAACCAAAGAGAGATTTGGGGGAGATACCAGCAAGCTAGATAAGTGAAATCATGAGGTTGAAAGAACTCTTCAAAGATGAAAGATGAATGAATGGAGAGAGGAATGTGGAAATCAGGGGCAGGAGAAGGTTTAGAGACTTGATTGTCCATTTTGAAAGATTAACCACCCCCATACTTCTACCTCCCAGCAACAACCTCGAGCAACTTTATTGGAGCAGGACTCCGTGGGACTTGTTAGAATAAAGCGCAACCAGCATTTTACCAGTCATCCTGTTTTCATACCACAGAAGTTAATATAAAAATTGGGATTTGGGACCAGAGTACAGATAATGGGTTGACAGAGAAAGTGGTAGTTAAATAAATATAGTACCTTGGTCTCTATAAGAAAGCAGTTCGGGAGGTTTGGAGTGATGGAGCAGCTCTGCCTCCACTTCTAGTGGGTTACTGAACATAAAGGAAGCAGAGCCCTCTTCCTGGTGCCTTTTGATGTTTCCAGGTTCATGGACTGGTTTAAGGACAGCAGAGTGTGGGTGGAAAGCAAAGGGACAAGCCCTGAGAAGTCTCTCTGATGTCCTGGAGGTGGTGCTACCTGCTGTACCAGGAGATGAAATTTCCTGGGACTGGGGACCTTTTGAGACTGAATCCCAGCTTCCCATTTCTTCCTTGAGTGTGTGTTGTACTAATTCACAAGCGCCAACTGCCCCAGACTGGATTTCTGCCTTGACATGGAAGAGCATCACCCATAGCAACTCAAAGTTGAGCAGTAGAGTTCACAAGGACCCTGAGCCCTTTTTTTTCTCTATTGCTCAGTACTCTTACCCAGTTGCCTGTTTTTACCATTATGTTATATATAAGGCTTTTATTATTCAGATTAATGCTTTATCTATAAAGGGGGTGGATGAAGAGAACCTGTGGTTGTTGCCAGTGCTCCAGACATTCTGGGCAAGCTATGGGAGATGTTTGTCCTGGATTTTCCAGAAGACTCTGGAGATCCAGCTAGATGACCTTAAAAGTCCATAATAAGCATCCCATTTTCTGCATCATGATAGCCCTTTCATCTGGTTGTGTTTCCACGGTTTCCAAACTGACTCTTCTTATTTGCATACTTCTTTGAGAGTTCATTTTCTCAGTCTCTCAGCTGTGCTCCGGGGCCCTTCAGTTTACTTCAAGATGCTGTTATACTCCGGCTGTTCAGCTGCTCTTTCTATCAAAGTGGGCCCAATTTGGTTTTCCCTGTCTCTGTGTAGTTGTCAATGACCCATTCATACCATGTATAGCTATTCATCTCTGCATCTAAGCCCATCTGAGGGAATGGCCCAGCTATTAGGATCAGTGAAGTCCTAGGGAACCTCCATCCTGCTCTAGTCCTGGGCAGTCTCCTCACTAATCAACATTAGCACCCTCTGGCCTTGTTTACCAGGGGCCATTTACTCAGTTGACACTTCCAAAAGCTAAAGCAGCTAGAAGACTGTAGGCCTTATCTGGGAGTCTGGCTTAGTCTCTAAAGGAAGATTTAGGCCAGGCTCTTGGAGAGCAGAGTACTGGTTGGGGGAAATGGTTGTAAGGAAGTGATTGGGAGTCACCCTTGTTCTAAGACATCTGATAGAGCGGCCTGACCGGATCTGCTGCTTTGGGAAAGTTCAGGAACCATGGCTCCTACTGCTGGGACCTGACCCCAGCCTCCTTCCCCACCACTAGAGCATGAGAAAGACCGGCTGTGTAAGAGTGCTGACTACATGAACCTACACTTCAAGGTGAAGTGGCTCCACAATGAATACGTGCGAGATCTGCCTGCCCTCCAGGGGCAGGTGCCTGAGTACCCAGTGTGAGTCATCATGCGGGCACTACAGAGGGAAGGGAAGGGGGCCCCTCCATTTTAGGGGTGGGCAGGACTATTGTCTTCAATGCAGTTCAGTAAGCCAGTCTTGAGACTGCCAGTTCTGGGCTCTGTTGTAGAAAGAGAAAAGCATCAAACCATGCCCTACTTTCCAGAAGACCCGAGTCTGGGGTAGCTGTTAGGCACATAGCATTTGCCAACCACTTGCTCCAACCCCCAATTCTCCTGCCTGGCTGCAGGTGGTTTGAGCAGTTTGTCCTGCAGTGGCTGGATGAGAATGAAGATGTGTCCCTGGAATTCCTACGTGGGGCCCTGGAACGAGATAAGAAGGATGGGGTAAGTTGGAAGCTTGGACTGCACCATGGGTCAGGCCAGGTCTCCCAGCAATTAGCTATCAGCAAAAGTTCCAGGGCTTTAGTTCCTTGCCCTGTGGAATTCATAGGGAGGGCTTTTGAGGGCCAAAGAGCCACTCCTGCTGGGCAGAGTCCTTTTGAGCCCTGCACACTTGGGAAAAGGTAGTGGCTGAAGATGATGATCCTGTTGTTGGCCTTCCTTAGTTCCAGCAGACATCAGAGCATGCGCTCTTTTCTTGCTCTGTGGTGGACGTCTTCACACAGCTCAACCAGAGCTTTGAGATCATCCGGAAGCTGGAATGCCCAGACCCCAACATCCTAGCCCACTACATGAGGAGATTTGCTAAGGTGACCATGACTCTCCCTTCTCCTTTCCATTTGCCACTACCAGGCTCATGGCCTTGTCACAGGCCCAAGCACAGTTCCTCTCTGTGATGTCCTTCAGGGGAACTCTGGCATTACCCCCTTCTCATTTGCTTGTGTCTGGGGCACACTGGGGGTTTGTCTTGGTGCTGTTCTGGGGTTGAGAGGAAGCTCTGTCCCCTTATTGTGAGATTCCCTTCTACCTTCCTTTTGTTACTATTCTGGGATGAGGGATATGACCTCAGGCAAGATCCCTGTGGGGAGAGCTAAGGGTTCCCTCTCCTTTCCTTTTCTCCTCTTTTTTCAGACCATCGGGAAGGTGCTGATGCAGTATGCAGACATCTTATCAAAGAGCTTCCCAGATTATTGCAAAAAGGAGAAAATGGTGAGGGTCAGGCCCTGGGACCCTAGAGAAGAGAATGGAAGACATTTGAATCTTCCTTGCTTTTAAGGCTATCCTCAGAGCTGAGGGTGGGGATGATACTCCTGACTTTTGGTTCCTAGTAGGGCTTTGCTTGAGATTATGCCACATAAGAGAAGAACTTGACTAGGAATTCCTCTGAGCCTCTATTTGGTACTTTATCTTCTACTAAGCTAGATCTTTACTTAGTCTTTCTTTTTTAACAACAACAATAGCCACAGCAAAAAATCTCTTAAGACAGAAAGTTAATAAAGGATGATGCCATGAATACCTGAGGCCCACCACCTGGTTTAAAAACAGAAACATTTGCTTCTGGTCTTCATTCAAGGAGAATTATCTGAATTGGTTCCACATCTCAGTGATTAGGAAGGAAGAGCGGTATTTGGTTATGTGTTGTAAATTCCCTGTGGCTTTTGGAGTAGTATGAGAGAGGTACCCTAGGCTGATAGGTCCTGTGCTGAAAGCAGTCAAGACTCAACACCTCCATCTGTCCCCAAAGCCCTGCATCCTGATGAACAACATGCAGCAACTGAGAGTCCAGCTGGAGAAAATGTTTGAGGCCATGGGAGGCAAGGAGGTAGGTCTCGGGGTGTGGGGTTGCTGCACTTCACCTTTGTTCCTGAGCGTTCTGGCCATAGATCTCTACCCTCTCCTCACCAGGTATAGGCCAGGAATTTAGCTTAGGATCTGGGCTGCTTTAAGCTGAGGGATTTGAGTAGGAATTGGGATAAAGGCTCTATGAGGGAGGAGTTAGGGGCACAGGAAGGAGGAAAAGGGTATGAAAATCAGCTTAGCCAAACACACCTTCTATGGATACAGTTGGATCCTGAAGCTGCAGACAGTTTGAAGGAGCTGCAGGTGAAACTGAATACGGTTCTGGATGAGCTCAGCATGGTATTTGGAAACAGGTAAGTGGCCCCAAAACACATAGCCCTCGGAGCGAGATCTGGTCCCTGGCCAATCCCAGAACTCCTGCCCCACACCTATCCATCCAGCTTGTAGGTGTGTGGATCTTCCCACTTCTCCTGTTGGCTGTCCCTGCTGGAGCTGCACCAGAGTGTGCTGGAGTGGGACGGAACAGCTGGTGTTGCTCCAAGGTCAATGTGTGTTTGGGGAAGGGAGGGCTGCACTGTGGGCACATGTATAGTTTTCAGGTGCGGATTGATGAGTGTGTTCGACAAATGGCTGACATCCTGGGCCAGGTGCGGGGCCCAGGGAATGCATCCCCCAGCGCCAGGGCCTCAGTGGCTCAGGATGCAGATAGTGTGCTCCGGCCTCTCATGGACTTCCTGGATGGCAAGTGAGTACAGCACTCAGGACTGTCCTTTGGGACAAACAAGGCAGAGGCGATCCGAAAAGCCTCTTGGGGAGGGGTGTCTCTCAGACTCTCAGTCTTACCTGTTATGTGGGTCTACAGCCTCACACTCTTTGCCACTGTGTGTGAGAAGACAGTCCTGAAGCGTGTACTGAAGGAGCTCTGGCGGGTGGTAATGAACACAATGGAAAGGATGATTGTTCTGCCCCCACTCACTGACCAGACGGTAAGGACACGCCCCTTCCACTTCCTCCTGCTGTCTCCCCTATCTTGCTCCACACTTCCTGATCGAGTTTGGAGTTCTCTGCTTTTGACTGATCTCTTTTCTGCCCAGGGCACCCAGCTGATCTTCACTGCTGCCAAGGAGCTGAGCAATCTTTCCAAACTCAAGGTACTGTGGATGGATGGAGTCTTCTGAGGCTGGGGGGTGAGTGGGAGCCAGGAAGAAGGAAATGTGAGCTTTGGAGACTAAAGAGGAAGGGAATGAGAGGAACATGTACTGTGGGCTGGCAGGTGGGAGAAAGACTTTCATGACAGCCCCAAGTTGTCCTGATGCTGTTGCTTTCTCTGGGGTTTCAGGACCACATGGTTCGAGAGGAAACACGGAGTCTCACTCCAAAGCAGTGTGCCATCCTTGACCTCGCTCTGGACACCATCAAGGTGGAGCCTTCCCCTTCTCCAGACAGTCATACTACCCCACCTCAGTCATACTACCTCTTGGCATTGGCATTCTACTCTGTCAGACTAGATGTTCTTTGGGCTCTTGCCACCCCACATCCAGAAGGGAGTGATTTTTATGTCTGTTTCTTTCTTTGCTATGTTGATATTCCTGCTTGGGAGCAACCAAAATGGTCTTGGGAGCAGACCATTCTGCATGGTCTCAGATGACTTACCATGGACCCAGAGCACTTATTCCTGGGTTTTGAGTACAGTTCAGTTCACTTAGTTCTTCATTGCCATTCCTGAATATTTTCCACTGGGAATTAATCTTCCAGATCCTAATACCCCACATCTGGCTGAAAGTTCCCACTTCCACTTACGTATACATTCATTTGGGTTTCCAAAGGATTTTTTTTTTCCTGGTACCCATTGATTCATTCAACTGGGAAACCTATGCACATGGTACTCTGCACTATGAAGGATACAGAGAGAATCAGATATAGTTCCTAGCTTTAAGATGCTTATAATTTGGTAAAGCTGTAATAAGGCAGGTACATATGAAGTGTGATGCAGGGCATTTGGGAGAGGTATGCCATAAGTATAACGTTCTTTAAGGGTTCGGAGGGATAAAAAAGTACTTTGCTACTCTCTCTGCCTAAAATGCTCTATTCCAGATCTTTGCCTGTCTAGATAGATCCATACTTCAAAGTTCACATCCAGGAATGTGGTCATCCCTTACTGCTCCTACCCAACTAATACATTTCATCTGAGAGATTCTGACTCTACATGGTATTCCTCATCTTGTTATTTATTTAATGGCTTATTGTCCTCATCATCCTTTTTTGGCATCTTCATTGAGCTTCTGCTCAGATGTGATTTCTCTGAGGACAGTGTGGAAAGCTGCCTCCGTGTAAGGGGATGGGGCTGTAGCAGGTATTCTTTTGTCTTTCAGCAATACTTTCACGCGGGAGGTAATGGGCTGAAGAAAACTTTCCTGGAGAAGAGCCCAGATCTACAGTCCCTACGTTATGCCCTATCTCTGTACACACAGACCACAGACACGCTTATCAAAACCTTTGTTCGCTCACAGACTGCCCAGGGTAAGACCTAAGGGCTTTAGGTCCCTATCTTCCCCTCCTTGATACACTTCTGCCTCTAGGGAGTCAAAATTTTCCAGCCCTTAAGGAGGATCCAGGTACTTCTTAAGAGAGCCTGTCAAACTCAGACCCCAGGATTTCTTGAGGGACCCCAATACTCACTTCCACACTGTACCCATACCAGACAGGAGAATCACAGGGACCTGGTAAATGGGCCTGCAATTCTTTTCCCAGACATTGCCTGGCTAGCACATGTTCATTCGGCTCAAAGAGCATACCCTGTTAGGAAATATTTGTCGGAAAGCCTTGAGAATAAGTTGTTGAAACACTCATGAAGACTCATAGTTTTGGGAGCCTTGTTGGAAACTGTCTGGGGGGGAGGAAGCAAAAAAATACTTTATAGATTGTCTAGTGTGGATGAGGTGGGGGGGGGGAAACCAACAACTAGGAGAGGCAAACCATGGGAGCAGTTGAAAGGAGGGTGTGGATCATGGGCATAATGGATCTCTGTGCATAAATGATGCTCCATCCAGCCTCATGGGTGATGCTAATGCACAGGGACTAGGCAGCTGGTTTTCTCCCAGTGTCTTCTAGTCCTCAGAACCCCTCCCTGCCTCCAGGCAGGCCTCTCTATAACAAAACACATCTACATAGATATGGTTCAGACTGAAATTCTGACCCTGACCCAGGAGCCAGGCCTTCCCAGGAAAGACTTTCAGGCACATTTGTTATTGCTTGTTCTGGGAAACTTAGGTGTGCTGCCTGGAGGAGAGAACCTGATGGAGGGAATGGGAGGACTTAGGCCTTACTGAGCCTTTGATCCAGAGCACAGAGCTGACCTGGAGGGGAAGTGGGATCCAAGTCATTGGACTAGAGTTAATAGAAGGTGAAAAGATACAAAGGACCTGCAGTACTGCTCCATTTTCCACATCTGTTCTTATTTTAAGTCCAGGATAGGAAGAAAAGGGAGGAAAGAAGTTATGAGCCTTGTTCAAGGGGACAGGGAGATCTTTTACAGAGTTGTACACGGAAAGGCCTGTAACATCAGGGAAGTATCTGAGTTAATCCAAAAAGGCTTTTTAGAAATACTGAGTTTTAGGCTAGATGTAAAGATGAAGAAAGGCTAAAATGGGCACATATGAGGTAAGAGCAGAGGTGGGGACTGCAGGGGGAGGATCGAGATGGATGTGTGTACCTTTTATACCCGTTGCTTTATTATTTAAGGCCAAGAAATTAGAGCCTGCAATGTCTCTCTTTCCTGCCCTGCTGATTTCAGATACCTTCTCTATGTATATTCTGCTTTTCCCCATGATTACATTGATCTTGACCCATGAAGTCTAATTTGGAGCATTCAGGCACTGACTTCAACTATTTGATTTCCCTCTCCACCTCATCTCTGTATTCCCCCAGAAAATGTGTAGAGTTGCTTTGAATGGCTATTAACTCCTTAGACCTCTAACTGGTTCTTCTTTTCTATCCTACTGCTGCTACTACCTCTTGACTTGCCTTTCCTCACTCAGTGCATGATGGGAAAGGTATTAGGTTCACTGCTAATGAGGACATTCGGCCGGAAAAGGGTATGTTTATGTTGTACACCTTGCACACATGAATCTAACATAGGCTAACACCTGTCCCCTGTGAACTAGAATGAGCTTCTTAGGCTGGCTGTAGGGGAGCCATGTGTCAAAGTTCAGAAGCTCCATCCCAAGTATCAGAGATGAGTGATGTATTAATACAGTCCGAGATGGGGTTAATAATGGTTCTGTCTTTGGGATTCCCCCATCCTTCCACCTTAGGATAAAGAAGTTTTATCTGGGGTGCAGAAGTTTTATCTCTGGTGAGATGTCTGCTTAGGGGAGCCTACAGACTGGCTAGAGATTGGGTCTGGGAAGTTGCTTGTAGAGGGGTCCAGGTTTTGAGTAGGACAGAGTCTGAGCAAGGCAGCCTCCCAAGCAGTGACCTTCAGGATTCTGAAGGTAGGTGGGAGGGTGCTGCTTTTGGCTTGAAGGGACCCACATTGTTCCATTGAGACACCACAGGGTGGACTTAGTTCCCAGACAAAGATAGAGGGTGGCAGTACTGTCCTCCAGTACCTTTCAATGAAAAATTCTTCATCCTAGGAGATAGGAGAGGTTTGGGGAAACTGACAGATTCCTTGTGCACTTTTGGAAGACCTTACACCTAAAATGTTGTTAGCCTAATGTACTTTAATACGCAGCCTCATTCTTTATCCCCTTCCTTTCCCTTCTCCCATTGCTTACTTCCCCATGGCTATTTTAGGTGATTGCTTCATGCTCTAGGGTGTAAAGTGGGCTTCCTAACTCCTCAGTTTCACCTGGGATAATTAGGCCTGATGTCTTAGAGTTCTCCAATGAGGGATCAACTGTCCATCTGTCCTTCAGGGTCTGGTGTGGATGATCCTGTGGGAGAAATCTCTATTCAGGTGGATTTGTTTACACATCCTGGAACTGGGGAGCACAAGGTCACAGTGAAAGGTGAGTGGCACAGACTTACAGGTCTCCGACCTTTTCTTATGCAGTGGCCTCATCAGTTGAAGACAGGGGCTGCTTATCCCAGTCCTCTAACTTAGCCTTCCTCCAAGGGGAATGCCACCTAGGGCTCAAGAATTGGGAACACTTGGTAGGATCCCTCACAGGCTTCTCTTGTTTGGGCAGTGGTGGCTGCCAATGACCTCAAGTGGCAGACAGCAGGTATGTTCCGGCCCTTTGTGGAAGTGACCATGGTTGGCCCACACCAAAGTGATAAGAAGAGGAAGTTCACAACCAAGTCGAAGAGCAACAACTGGGCTCCCAAGTATAATGAGACATTCCACTTGTGAGTTACAGGGTGGGGAACCTGCAGGACTCTGGGATGGGGGTGAGCTGGGGGGTAAGACTTGAGAGGGGAGAAGAGGGATGGATTGGATGGTGGCTGGGGAAAATTCAGTTGAAGGCTCTTTCAGCTCTGGCCTCCTTCCTCCACCCATCCTATGCTCACAGCCTCCTGGGAAATGAAGAGGGGCCAGAAGCCTATGAGTTGCAAATATGTGTGAAGGATTACTGCTTTGCCCGGGAGGATCGTGTTCTGGGGCTGGCTGTGATGCCTCTGAGGGATGTGGCAGCCAAGGGAAGCTGTGCTTGCTGGTGCCCCTTGGGCCGGAAGATCCACATGGATGAGACAGGCATGACTATTCTCCGGATTCTGTCTCAGAGGAGCAATGACGAAGTGGCTCGGGAGTTTGTGAAGCTCAAATCGGAGTCTCGTTCCATGGAAGAGGGGAGCTGAGCACCCAGGTTCCTGTGCCAACTGGATGGCATCAGTTTCACAAATCAGGGCCAGTGAGAATTACTATATATCCAGCTTAGGGTCCTCATAGTCAAGAGGCTGACTCCTTCAGTTTAAGGAAAAATTTGGGGTGGTGAGAATATTTTCTCAGAAAGGCTCAGGAGTCCCTGACCAGCATGTCTGTGGTGCTAGGAGCTGGGCTGTCAGGGTTACTGCATAGGGAGGTAGAACAGACATTTCTAAGAGTGTCAGCCATTATTGTTGGTAGACACCCCTTCACCCCCTATCCCATCTCTACCCCTCTCCATGCCACACCTTATTCAGTTAGATCCATACATATAAACCATTAGAAGAGCAATGGTTCTTGTTGAACCATTAGAGAGCCTGAAGCATGTGCCTGGTTAGCTAGTCAGTTGAGCCTACAGTTGTCACTGAGCCCTATAGTCTGGATTGGAGTATGCCAGGGCAGGAACATACAAATTAGAATTTAGACTGTCCCTCAAGCAGTCTAAAACCAGGATCCACTGGTTTTGTGAAAACAAGGCTTTGAAACTGGACAAGATACCTTCTAGAAATGACCTTTGCTAATCCTTTTCTCCAAATTATATGTCATGAGTAGAATGAGGTTCACATGATAACTTCAGAGCCCTGAGCAGGAATATTCTTTGGAACCCAAGCACCACAGGCTACCTGCCCAAGAGTCCCCCTCCCTCTCTCCTATAGGAAAGGGAGCAGTGATGTTTCAAGACATGAGCGGCTATTCCTTTGTGTATGCACCTGAGGCCTAGTTGGAGGATCCAGGAGAGAGGGCTGTATTTTCTTCTTGGGTAGGCCCTGAACAAAGCCAAAAATTGTAGAAACCAGTCTAGAAAGAGTCCTCTTCACCTATGGCCACTGTCTTCTGTTTGTCCTCCCCTTTGCAGAAAGAATCTAGTCTTTGGCCTCACTCCCTTTCGTCTAGGTCAGATGCTGTTCCCCTCACAGATGTTCAACCCTACAGAGGGAACTTGGACTATGATTCCTCTGTACAAGCTGGATGGAGGGGGCTTCAACATTTTCTGGGAGGTCAGAGATGAACTCTTTCAGGAGATCATATGGACTTCTCAGACCCTTCATCAGAGATGTGACACGGTTCTTGAATACCCTTGGTAGCAGCCTCCTGGACCTCCTGAGGACTCTGTGTTATCCATAGCTGTGCTGGCCGTTACATGAAACAAGAAACTAAGCATCTTTGCTGTTGTTAATTATTGTATGTGCCATTGTTACAGGACATTTTTGGCTAGTGTGTAATAAATTATCTTATAGCAGCCTTTGGGGTCTGGTAATTCTGCTAAAGTGTGGAAAACTGTAGAAATGACTATCCTGTATAATGGTAGATTTTGTACCCCTGGCCCTTCGCTGCCTCCTCCCTCCTCACCACCTCACAAGTGGTGGGACCTAAAGGAGTTTTGGATAAGCACCACGCAGTAAAGCAGGTAATGGGCTAGCATCTTGGCCTGGACCTGAGACCACCAATCCAGTTAACAGAGTCATGGGATTCAGGGCATCAGCTCCCTGCAAAAGGTCCAGAAGAGTAGCAGATGACATACGCTAGTGAAAACTAGTCCATGTTGTGAAGACAAGGTAAGGGTCTTCTGGGGAGATGTGTGCCTCTGGAGATTGGTAGAGGGCTGAGGCTGCCAGTACAGGACAGAGGAGTAGGCCTAGGAGTGCACATTGGCCTTTCATTTGGGAAAATTCCAGAAGAAAAGCTGGAGTAGAAGTCTCCTATATGGGAGAAAACAAGGTATAAGTGAGATCTCCTGGTCTGGAAATCAGAAGCTTATGCAAGAAGAGCGCTCACCTAGTCTCTCAGCCCTTGTGGGGTGGGGGCTGAATGGGAGCACAGGACAGATTAACTCCAGTCTTCCAGCTCATTTCCATTTGCTTGCTAAATAAACCCTTGCAGTTCAGTTCCCCAGTCATTTTTAAACTTCCTCCTTCTCTTTCCCCAAACCAGTTGCCCTCTATCATTTCTGCCTCAAACTTGCCTGTTGAATCCACTGTCTCACCTCATTTCCCAGTACCACAAGTGGAGTAGTGGCCTTTAGTTCCTCTTGTCTGGATTACTGTGATTATCACCTGCCTCCATGCTGCCCCTGCCCTCTTCACCTACTCTGGTAAGTCTCTCCTGTTAAAGCTGTTTAGTTGTTATCTATCACAGCCCTCAGGCTGAAAAATTCTAAGACCCTCCAGGACAGTGCAGACACTGCCCACCATCCTGTAGCTATTCTAAACCCCAAGTCCCTGCGGTTTCCCCCTCCCCCACCCCTCCTCACCCTCACCACACTGTGCACTCCTCTACCTCTCTGTGCCTTTCTTTGCACATTGAGTTCCCCCTTGCTAGAATGGCCTGCAGCCTTTTCCACTGTCTTCTAGGTTTTGATACTTACTAGCAGCCTTTAGAACCCAACCAACCTGAACCCCTTCACACAACACTTTAATTAGTTACAATTTGTCTGTCTTCCCTCATAAGACTGTGATCTGCCCAAAGGCAGGCTCTGAGTATTTCTTCTCTGTTGCCCAGCAGCCTGCACAGAGAGCACTCCAGTACGTAAAGACAAGCCAACTACTCCAGGACCCCTTCGAGAAACACTGGTGGGGAGGGGCGGTTGGCTGGCTCCAGAGGAGAGGGGTGTGGGCAGGGGCGGGGCTCTGCTCTAGGCTGGACCCTGGGGCTCTAGGGCGCCTGCGCAGAAAGCGTTAAGATGGAGGCTGCTGGAGTTGACGGCGGTGCAGCAATGGTGAGCAAGAAACGCCTGAAGGTGGCGCCGTAGGAGAGGTTATTGCCTTCTCCCTCCCAACACAGAAGAGATTGTACCCACATACTACCGACATTCGTACAGCTCTGTACTTCGCAGTTTTACCTGTCCATCTTCCTCTTGTAAACTGTTCTCCCGATACTCTTCAAGCTTACTGCTCCCTTCTCGTATTTGAGTATACTTAGGGTTTCCAAGACATTCCAGAGAAGATCTATTTACCCAGATGCCTAACAAAGGGGATCTTTATCCCCCACCAAATACTTCCCAAAGTGGGACACATTTATTCAGTTACCTTATGAAATAGATCCCCAAATCCCTATCTAGGGCACTTTCCTATTAACTCATGGAATTTGTCCACTTCTCCCAACACTATACGCATTCACGGAGAGGCATAAATCTTACCCCACATTTGACTTGAAAGTGACACTTTGCTACAATTCTTTTATATGACACAGGAGACCTATTCATAAAGAAAAGTCAAACTCTAGCTGGCTACCCAAGGCTTGCAACAGGCTTATAAGTTTGAATTAGTAGCTTTTTTTTTTTTTTAATGTTTGTTTATTTTTGAGACAGAGACAGAGCATGAACGGGGGAGGGTCAAAGAGAGAGGGAGACACAGAATCTGAAGCAGGCTCCAGGCTGTCAGCACAGAGCCCGACGGGGGCGTGAACTCATGGACCCTGAGATCATGACCTGAGCCAAAGTCGGACGCGTAACCGACTGAGCCACCCAGAACGCCCCTGAATTAGTAGCTTTTTAAAACCAAACTTCACACTTTAAAAAATGTGGATTTCCAGTTTTAAAAATGAAAAAAAAAAAAAACTGTTGACTCTTAGCTCACACTCCCCTCAAAGCAACTGGTGGTTGGAGTTGAGAAGCAAGTGTTAATTTACTGTAGTTTATTACAGACTCTATTACTCCTTGTTTTCTTACAGTAGGCTTTGCTTTATTTGCCTGGCATCTGGTAGGCATTTGAGTTTGTGACCCCTGATGTAGGACTTTGGTTTGGGTCCTTTTCTGAGCCAATACTTTGAGCTCTTAATGGAAACTGAAATCCAAAGAAGATAGATAACGTATCTATAGGTTGTCTTTGGTTTCTGCAATGCTTTGATTAGGATCAGAAATCATCCTAGTAGCTAAAACCCAGGTGAACTCTATACCAAAGTGTTTTTGGTGAGAGGATGCAATAAAAATATTTATAGGTACCTCTCTGGCATTTGATCTTGAAGGAAGCCACTGTGTCATCCCCTCTCCAGTGAGGTCACGCCAAGGACAAGAGGTTGTTTGTTTCTTTTCCAACACCTACTTATAAAAGCACCTGGCTCTGGTCTATACAGGAAGTGATGTCTCAAAAGTGTTGTATCCCTTGTTCTAGAACACAACAGATGGTAACCTTCCTCTCTGAGAGAAATAACAGGCCTTGTAATAATCAAGAATGGTGATATTCTGCAGACTGTACCTAATCAGAAGTAGAAATACCTTTAACAGTGGATTTTTAAAGGGACAAAATCATTTGAGCACAAGTGTATGATCTACCTATTCATTGTGAATATTTAGATGAATTTCCTGAATGAACCTGCTATACTTAGATGCGAAAGCAAACCTGAAGAAGCAACATGGAATAGTCAAAATGGTATTGGAGTGTCAAAAAACATGAATACTGGTCTCAGCTCTGCTACATACGAGTAAAGGGACCTTGATTTTTAACTCCTCAGAGACTCTTTCCTGTATCTGTTAAAACAGACTAATAATTTCTGCTATGTCTACCTTGGAGCAAATGGGCTCATTTAAATGTGAAAGCACGTTGAAAAATACACATTTTCTCCAGGTGTATAAGGGATTATTATTATAAATGATTCTCTGAGTTTATATGAGCAAGTTTATATGATTAACCTGCAAGGAATTAGTCTTTCATTGCAGGTTCAAATGAGCAAATATTTGCCAAGCACATACTGTGTGCCAGATAGGTATCTAGGCACAGGGCCTAGCATTGAACAAACAAAAACTGAATGCATTTAGGAGTGAGTCACCAGCATATTGAGTGTCCACTAAGTACCCAGTGTAGTATCACAGCATGATGAAGCAATAGAAAGAATCTAGATTATGGACTTCAGTTTGCCACTATTTCATAGCTGTGTAAACCTGAACCTCCAATCTATAAAATAAGGAAGTTAGGGTAACCTCTAAGGTTCCTTCCCCCTAAAATATGTTTGTCATTAGAGATTCTAATTGCTGAAGTTCCCTACACCTAAGGAGCTTATTGCCTTGCAGGGATGGTCAGACTGACAAAATTTATCAATCAGAACTAGAGGACAATAGAGTACTAATGTCATATTAGATTCGGCACAATAGTGGTAACGACAGTATTGTTCTGTAGGTTACAGTATTTAGAGAGATTTCTTGGAAGACCAGGTAGTCTCAGAAGGATGGAAAACTTTGGATCACAGGAAAGGAAGGAGACTCTATTATAGATATTAGAAGTTGAATGAAAGTACAGGAACGTATGATTCATTGTTTTCCTACTTTATCAGTCAAAATCCTTGCAGAAAAACAGCTGGTGCATTCAAAAAAGTTTAACTGAAGAGAGTTTAACCAAAGGGCTATTTATAGAAGTATGGTCAGTATTAACAGAAACTAGAAAGGAATGGTAGGACTCCTAGGCCTGAAAGGAAAGGGGAAGGGGGTCTTGTTACCAGAGCCCACCTACAGCTACAATCTGGAAGAGGAACTGCCTGACAAGAGCTATGACCATAAGGACTAAGCAGCTGCAATAAGCAGAAAGGAAGTAAAGAAATAAAATAATCTTTCTCTCTCTTCCTTCCCTCAGGTCTCCAGCTAGTACCTTCCATTGGCAAAACTCAGATAGGAGCTCAGGGACAAGGTAGTCCGGGTGATGTAGTCCATAGAGGTCAGCTTCCCAGAACAGGGCAGAGGGAGTTGGGTGGGAGGAGACACAACACATAGAATAACCAGCATACAAGGGATCTAGGGAAGGAAAAGTCACTACTGTGGACTCTTTCCCAGAAACTTTTACCTAAGTTCAAATTGCAAGTACACTCTAAGGCTTAGTCTCCTTAGCTGTGAAATGGGGATAGTAATGCCTTTGTCCTGGGGGTGATTGTGAGGATTGGAGGCTGGGAAGATGGAAAACTGGAGTCTCTGAGGTTAATGGTGAACTTAGCTAGAAGCTTTGGAAATAGAGGAAGTAGGTGACTGTCTCAATTTAAATCTTAATGAGAGAATATACAGAACTTCATGATTAATTACAAATGGAAGAGTGAAAGAGAGCACTGTCAAGATGACTCTCGAGTATCTGGCTTGGGCCACTAGGTAAATGATTAGTAACTGATGTTCAAAGGAAATACAAGAGAACGCAGATTTTGGGTGTGAGAGATGGGGAATAGAGATGATTTCAGTTTTGTGAGTGTAGATTTTTTAATTGTGGTAAAATACACAAGTGACACTACTATAACCGTATAAAAATATAACCACAATTCAGTGAAATTAAGTATATTCACAATGTTGTGCAACCATCACTAATTATTCCAGAGCTTTTTCATCACCCAAAAAGGAAACACCATCCATATTAAGCAGTCATTCCTCAGTACCTATAGGTTTTTAAAAAAGGTTTTTTAATGTTTGTTTATTTTTGAGAGAGAGAGACAGATCATGAGTGGGGAGGGGCAGAGAGGGGAGGGAGACACACAATCCAAGCAGGATTCAGGCTCTGAGCTGTCAGCACAGAGCCTGACACAGGGCTTGAACCCATGAATTGTGGGATCTTGACCTGAGCCAAAGTCAGACGCTTAAACAACTGAGACACCCAGGTGCCCTGTACCTATAGATTTTGAGACATTTGTGTGACATCCAAAAACAGATGTTAAGTAGATATTTGGATATGTAATACTGAAGCTCAGGATAAAAAATAAGGCTGAAGAATATAGATGTTTGAATCATTACAGATCATACAGATAGGGAATCCTTAACCTGGGGCCTTTGGACTTGAGTGAAAAATCTCTGAATGTCTTGAATTGGATGTAAAATGTATATAGGTGTGTACATTTAGTTTTATGAAGAAAGTCTGTAGCATTAATCATATTCTCAAAGGAATTTCTTAACCTGAACAAAGTCATTAACCATTGATATAAATAAAGCTGGGGGGTAGTTAAGAAAACTCAGGAAGAGTAGTGAGAAAAAAAAATGAGGATGGGGGCGCCTGGGTGGCTCAGTCGGTTAAGCGTCCGACTTCAGCCAGGTCACGATCTCGCGGTCCCTGAGTTCGAGCCCCGCGTCAGGCTCTGGGCTGATGGCTCAGAGCCTGGAGCCTGTTTCCGATTCTGTGTCTCCCTCTCTCTCTGCCCCTCCCCCGTTCATGCTCTGTCTCTCTCTGTCCCAAAAATAAATAAACGTTGAAAAAAATGAGGATGGAATCTTGGGTACCATTTAAGGTATAGAGAGGTCCAAAGAGTGTTCTCTTAAGCAAAAAAACCAAAATTCATGTCTGCTTCAAGATAAGTAAAGGCTTTTAAAGGGCAATGTCATTTCCTAGTTGTTAGATGTACCTCACTTTTGTGTACCCAAACATGTATTTCATAAACTTATTCATTTGTGCTCTTAAATAGATGGTCTTCTTAAGTGACTAGCTGTAACTTCTTCCTAATTTAGTCTTACTGTTTGGCCATTAGGTTGATGGGGAGAGTATAATTTACAAAGTCAATAGTAGAGAATTAACTAAATTGTCATAATTTGCAAAAAGCAAGTGTGCACACCTGTGTGTATCTAGTATATTGTGGACTTTATGATAAACCAGCAGTTCTCAAATGGTGAGACCTGAACCCATGGCATCACC